CAACGTAATCAAATCAGCTTGTGTATCTCGGCTCAGAGAGGCCGAGGCAAACAAATGTTGTTGGTCTCGCTTGAGAATGTGTGTTTGTCTTTGTGAAAAATGTACGCAATTACAAATATATTTACTTAGTACAGCTGGCAGGTACTGAGCAGGTGCGCGTTCGGATCCGCGTTCTATATAATTTTCCAAATTTTCCGGCTTGCGTTATGTTCGGCACATTAATTAGATTAGTGTCTTTGAGTCACCAAAAATTGGCCTGTTTCCGTTATTGCATTGGGCCATAAAATATTTTGGGCTTAAAGCGTTTTTAATTAGTACAACAAATTTGCGCTTGTCCTCGGCTGTCTGTTCCCTGTTGCCTGTTGCCTGTTTCCTGTTGCGGCTCTCCATTTGTCTTCCCCCCTCCATCTCTCTTTCACTCTCTCCTGTTGTGTAATAAGCCAGTGGAGCAGAAGGCGCTGCCAGCCACTTTCAAATTAGTTTTTCAATTATATTTATAGTTTGAAGCGTGGAATTAATGCTGAAGCAAATCCTTTGCACAAACAAGATTTTCTTGATGTACGAGCACAGGCCAAAATTAATATTCGCCTCTCTCAGCTCAAATCGAATTTAATTCATCAATTTTAGAGTGTTCCAGCGAAACACCTTTGAAATACCTTCGCATTGCCGGACACGTCTCCGACCCCATAAGGTATATATACTTTTGATCAGCTGAGTTTATGGTAATTTTCTTATGATCTAATAATGAATTTTCTAATCGATTTAACTGATATTTTATTGTCAGCCTGAAAGTAGGCAACGAATAATAGCAAAATATACTCTAAGCATTTTATTCTTTTCTTTAGCTAAAATGATGCTTGCAATCGCAATCAGATCATCTATTAAAGTCTTATTCGTGTATAAGCATTTGAAAAGAAGAAGTGTTACTAACACTATGCAAAGCTTGACAGAATCACTCAATGATTGTTAACAAACAATATTCGATTTGCGAATGGAGTGCATAAAACATAAGAAATCGATGCGCACAATGAAAGAATTTCAGTCCCGGTTTTATTTAGAGTTGTTTGCTGAACAAAGTGCACTTTTTTGTCAAACTAATCAGCTGAGCAATCAATCTGAAATTTGTGAAAACAATTCAAACTCCTCTCAAGTGCATCCGCGTGGCAGCTGTCATGACCTCAGTAATGGACATTGGGAACAAGATTTTTGTTATTTATATGCACACAGTTTATTTTACAAACTTTCAGCGAAGATTTCAGAGAAAAACAAAATAGTGAAAAGCAGGATATCAAACTCAAATTGGAATTAAAAGAATTAAAGTTCCGAATTTTTAACGAAATCTGAACCAAAAATTCTTTCTTCTTTTTAAGTTCAAATACTTCTTACTTGTTTTACTTACTTTTTTAATTTTTTAATGGTAAATTTCGAACCGAAATCGTACAATTAGCGTGCCTTAATTATCAATACTTAAGCGAATCTTAATGATAATTTTAATAATCTACGTACCAGAAATCGGCACCTAAATTCGGTTCGGCTTGACATTCTGGTGAATAGTGATTAAGCTGATTAAATGCATAAGTTACTCATCTAAAACCTAATTAGACACTTCAGCATAAACTGTTACGCACATTGTGGCAACCCATGCTAATCATTACAAAATGCCATATTTTATTTTGCAAATGCAATTAATTTCCAATCACTATTAACGAACCGGCAGACATAAAAAATTTGAACAATATGGAAAGGGGAAGTAGACTTAATGAGTTTTTACCATCTTTTGGCCAGCTATCATAATGCCTCAATTATGTGTTTTGGCGAAGGGCAAACGCATATTTTGATTTATAGACTGTTTGCTGAAAGGACACGAGAGAACTGGCAGCAGGACCTCATTGAGTCTGGTAAGATAACAAATAATCGTCTATCATGCGGCTCGAACATTTTCTGTCCTTTAACTATCCTATCCATTACGAGTATTGTATATTCAACCTATTTTGTGGGCTAAACCAAATACAGAGCAAAGAAAACTTTTGCGTGTTTGGCTATCTTAAAGTGGACTGGGAATGTATAGAAAATTATTTTCTTATGTTCATATTTCGTACGTATTCATCAACAATAATTGCCTAGCCAAGTTTATGTTTTTACTTTGTTTGTCGTGTTTTTGTTGCCGCCTTGGCCCTTGTCTCCAGCCACAACATCATCAACAACCAGTTCATGGCGAGCGTAATCGAGACGGAAACTTTCTTCTCATATACCACGGTGCTTCGTACACTATAAATACTATCTATTTCCATGCAAAGGGCTAGTAAAGTTCCTTGAATTGATGTGCAACACTTTTTTCTAACGAAACTGTACTGAATATAATATAAATAATAATAAATGAGAATTAAATACAAGCAACTTGTTTTCAAAAAATGAATTTCTTTATTAAAGACATTCCAAAACAATTAATATAATTGTCCAATTATTATAAATACACATTAAATAATTAAATAAATAAAAAATAGTATACCAAATATTTAAAATAAGAAAGAGAAAAATTCTAATGTCATATTAGATTAAAGATTAAAAGGGATTTCTGTCTTATAGCCTTATTCCACAACATTTCATACATTCCTGCATGCCAGCAGTATAAAAAGTTATTTATTGATAATTCGTTCATTATTTATTGGTTTGTTTGCAGAAAAGTGGTTATAGCCTGTCTTATATATAATTTAATAGAATCGCGAAATGTTAAGAATAAATCTATATGCATAGAGGAATCTGGCTATTAATTCGCGGAGCTTTGTTTTAATATTTTGTGTGAGGGAAATGGATTTTGTGGTGATGCATCAAATCCAGAAAATTCATTTAATAATCCCCGATTCATTTTAAAAACGTTTAATCATTATTGTATGTGTTCAATTATTGTTGCCATAGTAGATAAAGCAACTGAAAATTTACCTCTTAAAAAACATTTTTAATCACTATTCGATTATAATAATTTGGTTCGACAAAGCTAATATTTTTTCAAACAGTTAAAATGTGTAATACATTTTCCGGTTTGCAGGAAAAATGTATAACTCTTAATTAAGCTAGTCAATAAATTTGTTTGAAAACATTATAATTTTCTTAGTCTAAGCTAATATCAAATGAATCCACAAACTAATTAGGAAAATGGTTAAATATTCGGCATTTGGCATTTTTCGCATTTTGATTTGTTTTACTATTTTTATAACAATTTCACTTTACATTTTTTCAATCATTCTTTCCTAAAAGAAAAACATAAAAAGTAATTTTTTTTTGCTGTGTAAAAAATTCAAATCTTTTTATAAAACAATAAAAAATTGTTTTAAGAAATACTAAGTTGGTACGGCGAATGTAATATGTTATGGAACAACCAATTTGGAAAGTGTATTAAATATTCGTCACTTGGCATTTTCACATGTTTGTCGCTTTTTGTTTTACTTTCTTATGGACTGCAGACTTTATTATTCTTTGTCCCACAAAATGTTCCACGAAAAGTCGTCAGTTGTGGCTGTTTTGTGTGCCTCAGAGCAGCCTGTTGTTTGGTTAGATTATCCAAAGGGCTCTATGCGCCCACATGCCACATGCCACCACCAACCACTGGCAAACAGTGGCGCCCCCGCACAAACCGGTGGCAGCAACTAGCAATGCAGCACGTATTGTTGTTGCTGTTGTTATTTTCGCGACTTGTCAGGCACTTGGAATACTTTATAAGACAAAACTTGACCCGCTTTGTGCAACAAGAGAAACAACAACAAATTCTCCCCCATTAGCGTCATCATCCTCATCCTCATCCCTTGCTGCTCTTGCACCTGCAGTTGGCTCATCTCCATCTCTTTCTTAATCTCTATTTGCCTGTTAGCATTTTTTTTATTTATCTTTTATTTTTTTTGGTTGCTTGCTCTTAATTAAAATTAACATTTTATAATGCTTCAGTTGGGAATTCGCAGGTCACGCTTTTTAAATGGACAGAATAAAAGTTAAACAGAAAATTAAAAACAAATTTATAAATAATTAAGGCTAATGCTGCTTACCGTCTACTGTTCACTGCTATCCCCATCTATCCCTCTCCCTTTATCTCTTTCTCTCTCTCTCTCTCTCTCTCTCTCTCTCTCTCTCTCTCTCTCTCGCACTGTAGTTGTTTCAGTCTATCACCTTTTTGCTTCCAGGCTGACTAAACTTTTGCGCTGCCGCCAAAAAATTATCCCTGATAAGCTTTAAATTATATATTTAAATATTCATTTATTTGGCATTTGTTTGCAGAACTTGTGTGCCTGTGTGTGTGTGTGTGTATCTGTGTGTGTGTGTTGGTTTTATCTTTGGTATATTGTAATTTGGGCAGGAAAAAAGGGCAAATAGTTTAACCTTTTGTGTGTCAATTTAATTGAGCCATTAAATATGGGAAAAGGGTTTCACATTTTGGCACAGCTGAAGGTAAATCTCACAATTTTGTGATTACTGTTTGTTGAAAGGATTGCTTAAGGTCAAAGGACTGATTAAAAGTGAGTTCTGGCTAATATTTTATAAAATATAATAAATCATTTCCTAGAATACGTAATAGAAACTAATTTTATAATTTCCTTCACAAAAAGGAAAATTTAAATGATATTTCACATTTCACAATTACTAATAAATTTACAAATTATTTAATTAAATAAATTCAGAATTGATTTTTAACAGGGTGTCAAACCGAAACTGGAATCCGGATAGAAATTTCGAATCGGAATCAGAAGCTAAATTAAAAATGAGCTTCAAATATATTAAATGCCGGAACTGATATTACATTTTCCAAAAATATCGTATCTGACCCAAAAAAAATCGCAGAGTAACATAATGGTAAATTCCGTTACTTTTTTGCATGCATGCGAATGTGTCTGTGTAGGTTTACGGAGCGGTACCGGCAACATACCGTAACAATCAAGGCACCAATACGTAACCGGATAACGTAAAAAGGTAGGGAAAATACTGTTTCTAGCAGAAATTTTGTTTATTTTACACACCAGAATCGGAATTAGGACTTAAATTAGTTTCGGTTTATCAACCTGATTTCAAATGCATGTTTCTAAATTAAACTAAACTTAAAACAATAATAATAAAACTAAAAACTATTGTGAACATTCTTTTTTACGAAAGCATTTAAAATGAAAATAAGACATATTAATAAAATACAATTGCAAAGTGTCTATGCTTTTAATTGGTATTCCATGAACGAATTCTAAATGCAAAATTTCATTAACTTTGTGGAGTGCTCTTAATCAGCTCTCAGTTTCAATTTGAGTTTCGGTTTAAGTTTCAGTGTCAGTTTGAGTGTCAGTTCCAGTGCCAGTGCCAGTGCCAGTGCCAGTGCCAGTTGACGAACAAAGTTTTCTCTCCTTGTGGACAGCAAATGTGGAAACCAATCAAATATTGTCGCTATCTGCATGCCAAATAAATGGGTTCGATTCCCAAAGGACGACTATCGAAAATAAAAGTCAACACAGACAATATTTATTCAGTTGTACGTTTGTGTTTTTTTTTTTTTTTTTTTTTCTTTTTCTTTTGTTGTTATTGTTTGTACAGTGCGATAATTAAATGCATTATTCAGAGAAAGGAGAGGAAATCTTTTTACCTTTTACGGCTCCTTAGCACTTAACTGCCAAAGATGTAAATGTTGCCAGCATATTTTATGCGCATAGTCATCAAAACTTTTGACACCAAACTTTTTGGACGATTGCCGTTGTTGTTGTTGTTGTTGTTGTTGTTGTTGTTAGTGCATTTACTGCATGGACACAAAACTTTTTACGGGTGGCGACTGCCTAACATTAATTTTAGTAGTTTTTGGCATCGATAGAGAATGAGATAAGAACAAAAAATAATGGAAACACACAAGAAACACGACACGACTCGCATAAGCGATCAGATCACTTTGGCCAATCTGAGTGCAGGCATATTTTTGAATCAGAAACACACGCACGCACACACATGCACACACACACACACACACACACACGCACACACTCTGACGTAAATGGGGAACCAGCACACGCGACGAAATATCGTCCAGAGACACACAAAAGTTTCGACAACAAATGCAAATAGCAAACAAAACGCACAAGAAGAAACAAACACAGCGCACATTTGTGCCTTTCATTTACCGTTAATTGTGCTTTTTAATGTTGCCTGAGTAGCGCAGAACCGAACGCGCGCCAGGCTGAATTTGAACTGACTCAGGAGCAAACAGAAAACAGCGCCAAAGTACCGACGTAAGCGAAGAATCGTCAACAGCGGCAACGCTGCTGCTGCTGTTGTTGTTGTTTTTGTTTTTGTTGTGCTTATCAGAAACAGCTGTCCGCAAGCCGTTACATCGTAAAAGCTTCAAATTTTGCTGGAAGCTTTACACTACCAGTCAAAATATTGAGCATGCCGACGAATGCTTGCGCTGTATTAGTAAAATATGAATTAATTAATTGCAATGTTTAAGTTTTTATTTCAGTCTATTGCATCAATGCAATGTTTCTCGAACTAATTATATTAATATGCGGGAATTTTATTGTTATTTATAAATAAAATCGAAGCTTGTTTGACGACAGTTTAAGCTTTGCAGTTGTTTGCAATGACTTTTTTCGTACTTGTCGATTTGACTGTCAATTAACATGTAAATTACACCTACCTGAATGGGTATAAGTAAATATTAATAAAGGCAACAACTAGTTGTAAGTAGTTTGTTGTTTGTCTACACCCAGAGGAAAAAATGGCCACAGATTTTAGATAATCGCCCTCAAATTAAAATCGCTATAAAAATATAAAGTTTTTCTTGATTTTAGAAGTGATTTCTAAATATTAGAAACAATTTTGTAAAATGTAGAGCCGAGTAATGCAATTTACTGGCTCGGCTTTTATATTCAACTTTAGTCTTCCTTAGTGAAGTCTAAAAATACTAATGTTTAATAATAAAATAAGTAACAAAATTAGCTAATAAAACAATTCTTGAAGAACACCCCGGAAATTAAATCCACCATAAAATTTAGATATGAAAATTGTAGTTTTTTTTAAATTTTATTGTCGATTTTTCTTATGACACATTTTATTATATCAATTTAAAAATAAAAGAGTTTAAGTGAAATCAATTTCTTATTTATTAATACATACTAAGAAAAGTTAAATAAAAATGAAAAATCAAAAAATAAAAGAGTTTAAATATAATGATTGTATTATTTATTCATTATAAGAGGTGTACAATAAAAATAATAACATTCAATAGTTTGTAAAGTTGGCCCAAAAAGATGAAGATGAAGAAGCAGAAGAAGACTTTTAATAGTTCTCCGTGGTGCGGACATAATTAACGCCCGATGGCATGGAGACCTTGTCAAAGCCTTTGGGGAACAGCTTGTGGGCATCCGCATCGCTGACGCTGGGCAGGATCATCACCTTTGTGCCAGGCTACAGTCAGAAGAAGAAGAGAAATACATAAGTATGTAAATCAGTTAGCAAGTCTATAAGCCATATCTAAGAGTAATACTCACTGTCCAATTTGCTGGCGTGGCAACCACCTTCAAGCGATCGGTCAACTGCAGCGAATCAATGCAACGCAGGATCTCACTAAGGGGAAAGAGGAAGAAATAGGGTTAAGGAGTTGTTGCAGCTTCAGCTAATCAGATTAATCAGACTAATCAGATTTACTCACTCAACATTGCGACCCATGGACATGGGATAGAACATGGTCAGGCGCACCTTGTGATCAGGGCTAATGATGAAGAGGGCACGAATTGTTTTGCCCACCTCGGGATCCTTCTTCTGATCCTCATCTAGCATGCCCAGGGAGACGGCCAGATCGCGTGTGGGATCCGCAATAATGGGATACGGAAACTCGCCGGGAATATCCAGGCAATACGACTTGATGTCATTCACCCAATCCACATGCGAATCGAGTGGATCCACAGAGTGAGCCAAGCACTTTGTGTTCCTCTTCGCAAACTCCGGCTGATGGACAGCAATGCGGCCCAATTCCGTAGTGCAAACGGGCGTAAAATCGGAGGGATGTGAGAAGAGCACAACCCAACTGCAATTGAGGTTAAGAATGATATTAATCATATAAGTAAAATAAAAATATAATAAATAAACCAACTGCTGACATTCTAATCGCCATCTATTATTCATTTATTCTCTTCCTTAATCATTGTAATACTCACGAGTTGCCCTGCCAGTCGTGGAAGTTAATGGGTCCCTTGGTGGTCTGCGCCTTAAAGTTTGGCATTGTTTGTCCCAGACGCATTTTGATTGATTTCTAGCTTTCGCTTTTATAAAACTCGTAGAAGGAAATAAGCTTAACTGTTTACTTGCTCAGTTGCTTGATCACACTGAATGACAACTGTGCTGAGCTGAGGCCTTTTATACGCTCAGCCCACAGCCACGAAGAGTGAGAACGAACGAGAAAGAGAGTGACAGTGAGAGAGAAAAAGAGAGAGAGATAGAGATAGAGACCGGTCTAGCGAACGTTGTCAAAAGCTGTCTTATCTAGCATACATACACAAATATGTACATATATTATTACATACAACTGTACATTTGTTTTTATTTGATACAAGTTCAGGCATGCTTGGTTTACTGATCTATGTAGCAATAATAACAATAAGAAGTTAATTATATTAAATTCTTTTTTTCTATAAGCAGAAATGTTTTAATTTCAGCATTGGAAATTTATCAAATTTCTGATGAAATTCTTAAAGTGTTTTAAATGACGTTTATTCATATTGAATGTTTTTCAATAACAAAAATGATTAAATTTCGTCATTGGCAATTTTTCAGATTTCTGATGTTATTATTAATATGCATTTTATGACGTTCATTGACAAATAGTTATTAAAGAATCCGTAGTAACTGCTCTAAAATATATAACTCACAAATCCAAACTGAATCAAAACATAAACAGAGAGCCAAAAGCAGAGAGAGCACCCACTTCTTTAATGGTATTAGTGACTTTCATACAATTCGCAATACCAGCGCACATTCTACGCTCATTTGAGACCCAACTCTCATTTGCTATGAGATCCATGTGAGTTCTGAGTTCTGAGCACAGAGAGCAGTGCTCTGCTTGATTGTGTTAGTGAGTTCAATGTAATTACCAACACATGCACACGCTTACGCTCACTGATTGTCTCATGTATAGAAAACCTTTGATTTGCTCGGCACTTCGTGAATTAGAGAAGCATTGAGGAAGAGAGCCACAGTTGGTATGGTAGTGTTGGCGAGTTCTGTACAAATCACCAATACTAAAACAAATTCACGCTCATCGATGCATCACACACAAATAGATGTGGTAACAATCGGTTCGGTTCAGCTTGCAACATTTTGGATAGGCTTGCAGCTTAAAAGAAGTTTAAAGCATAGCTGAACAACACAACAAATTATGCGGCACCCTGTATTCCAACTCAGAGTGCCCGTCACACATGTTCCTCAGCACCCTCCCCCTACCTATTTGCTGCTCTTAACTAGGTTGCTTATCTACGAGGCTAAATAATATATGTGGCATGTTGTTTTGCTTGTTGACAACCAAAGTCAAATGGAAAAACACCAGAGAATTTCAAGCGAGGCCAGATTATTGCGTTTTAGATTTCAGACTGGAACTGGTCAAATAAACATTTACAATAGATTTGACTCGAGCATGGGACAAAGATTAATTCCACATAAGCATATGCTTCACATTCAAATGACTTTGATACGCTTTGTTCTAGGGAAGTTAAAGAAGTTTCAATTCTTCCACTTGATGTGATCCCAACTTCTTCTTGATGTGATCCTAACTGGCTGACGGCCTGTGGGCATCTGGTACCTGTAGCATTGTGTCGAATACTGTGTTTCCCGAGTATTCCTACACATATTTCTAGCAGCACACAAAATGAGCGTAACTCTTCATAAGTATGGGTGTTTTGCATGTAGCTCACTAATACACTCATACAACCCGATGCTCTCTTCGTAAGTCTCTCAATTTCACGAAGCAGTCAACTGCTCCCATACATGAGCTCACATCGACAGCCTCTGCTTTCATTCATGAGCGCAAGTGTTTGTGTGTATTAGTAATCGCGTGGAACTCACTAACACAGTCAAACGAGGCACTGCTCTCTGTGCTGTGCTCTGTGACTCTGCTCACACAGATTGCGTTGGTATTGTAAACTGTATGACAGTCACTAATACTATTGAGGAAGTAGGTGCTCTCTCTGCTTTTGGCTCTCTGTTTATGTTTTTTGCTACCTAAGCTAATTGATCAGGTTTGCAATACACACAAAGTAGCCGGCATTTATAATAATTTATCTGCAACTTTCGGCAAACTTTGCGAAATTTGCCGAATTTTTAACACATTCAAATACAAAAAAAAATTATTTAAATGTGTGCAAGTAAATAAATATATATTAGAATGAGTATTATTTTTCTGCTACAAGCTAAATGAAATAGTGACAAGAAATTGATAGTAAAGAAATAATAATTAAATATTGATATAATTATATATAAACACATTTCATAAATTAATGTCACTGCTCATAATAAGAGTAATACATAATATATATGTCATACTTTAAGTATATATTTAGTGTATTTTAATATACTTTATATATTTACATTTGCTATTTGCTATCTCTTTCGTAGTGATTGTAGCCGGAACCAATCAACCTCAGCTGTTAGTATAAAAGCAAGCATTCAACACGTCTTTAGTTCAGAGAGCAAAGCAATAGCCAGCTGAAAGCTAGCCCAAGAGAAGCAAATTATAAACTAAAAGCTACAATTAATATATATAAATATATAAAATAACTGAACAATGTCGCTGGTTTCTGTCGCCGACTTTGAGCAAAAGGCAAATGGGCAGCTGGAGCCGAATGCCTTGGACTACTACAGGAGTGGCGCTGGGGAGCAAGTGACCCTGAACCTCAATCGCCAGGCCTACAAGAGGTGTGTATATTAATATCTAATATTTATAGTAATTATTATTCAGATCATTTTTAAATTTAAATATATGAAGTGGCAAATCGGTAAAAATCTAAGAAAATAAATAATTTCGACGCTGTAAGTTTATTTGCACTTTCGATAAATAAATATTTTTATGAAAGTTCAAATAAATAATTATATATTTTTGTATCTGACAACTTTTCACAGATTGCGTTTGCGTCCGCGTTGCTTGCGCGACGTTTCGAAGCTGGACGCCAGCTGTGAAATCCTTGGAGAGCATCTGAATTGGCCACTCGGCATTGCGCCAACTGCCATGCAGAAACTGGCCCATCCGGATGGAGAGATTGGCAGCGCACGTGCAGCGGGCAAAGCCGGCTCCATATTCATATTGAGCACACTGTCGACCACATCTCTCGAGGATGTGGCTGCTGCAGCGCCAGACACATGTAAATGGTTTCGGCTCTACATATACAGGGATCGGTAAGTGCTCGATTGGGCCACTGCTCTGCTCGTTTCCATTTCTAACCGTTTTTCCTGGACAGCTGTTTAACTGAGCAACTGGTGCGTCGGGCGGAGCGCGCTAACTTCAAGGCCCTGGTCTTGACTGTGGACACGCCCATCAATGGCGATCGTCGAGCGGATGCACGCAATCACTTAAGTCTGCCATCTCATCTCACTTTGGCCAATTTCAAGGCGGAGTGCACCCAAGGATTTGTGTCCAAGTGCGGCGGTTCGGGTCTGAATGAATATGTGGCCTGTAACTATGATCCGAGCATTTCGTGGCAGGACGTCAAATGGCTGCAGCAACTCACCCACTTGCCCATCGTGCTCAAGGGCATCCTCTCCTCTGAAGACGCGCTACTGGCTCGTGACATTGGCTGTGCCGGTCTGATTGTATCCAATCATGGCGGACGACAGCTGGATACGACTCCAGCCTCCATTGAGGTGCTGCCAGAGATTGTTGCCGCCGTGGGCAAGGATATGGTCGTCATGATGGATGGCGGCATCATGCAGGGCATCGATATATTCAAGGCCTTGGCTCTGGGCGCCCAAACTGTGTTCATCGGTCGCCCAACGCTGTGGGGCTTGGCTGCCAACGGACAGCGTGGCGTGGAGCAATTGCTGACCATTTTGAAACGTGACTTCGAGGTCACCATGACATTAACGGGTTGCCCCACTTTGGCAGATATTCGGCCAGCGATGGTCGTCCACGAGTCCGCTTATTGGCAACATAATTAATTTAAACTAGCCTTCTTAATCATATTTTACTAAGTTGCTTTCTTTTAGCATTTATATAAACAGTATATTGCATAATATTAAGTTGAGCCCAAATGAATAATTAAGTTGACAATTCAATATTTAATTCATTCAATAATTTAAGTTCTGTATTATAAACATGTTCTCGGAAACTCCAATTTAAGATTCGATGTATACAAAATAAGAATTCTAAATTCTTGATGCTATATTTAAATTCCAAGCGAATAAATTTGAACTAATTTCAGTCAATATTTTTATTGAGTCCCACTTATTAAAGGATATTGGACTTTGAGTCCTCAAAGGGAAACATGAATGAATTCTAAAGAAGATCATTTATTTGTTATCTTTAAAAGTCGCGAAAGAATCATCAAACATAAAACAGAAACATTTTCCATATCTTCCAGCCAAACAAGAGGGATTAAATAATTACATATATATATAATGGCTGTGATTCCTAATTTGTTTATTTAATTATTAAAGAGGAAGCTTCGAAATTAATTAACATGCTACTCAGCTGTTCATTTGATTAGCACTCGTAGTCTGGGGTTCAGATTAATGATTCCAAATTGAAAAGTCTGGAAATAATAAATTATAAATTAAGTTGATTAACATTTCTTTAATTAATTATTCATAATTTAATTCACAATGTTCAAAATAGGTGCCTCTCTCTTTTCTATTTTCACGATCTCAATTTAGATCAATTGTTTTTGATTTAGCCATATCTCAATATACATAAATATGAGCTATAATTATCATTATTATTATTAGTATTATTGTTAGGATATCTTCACTGTGACCTACTTGACCTATTATACCCCTTCTGAGCCTATAGCTCCTCCATCAACCCCATCTCCCGCAGGAATGCGAGAATCTTTGTTGGATTGAGGACTGCTATGTCTGTGGAGCTCATAACATGCATCCCTTGGAGGCTGCATCTTTTCCTAGTTAAGGTGGCACACTCTGCTGGAATGTGCCTTGAGGATTCTTCCTCACTTTCACAAAACCTGCATAGTTTGCTACCTCAAATGCCTTGTTTCGTTAGGTGACTTTTTAATCTACAATATTCTGTCACTAGACCAGTGAGTATCCTAAGCATATTCTTCCCCATGGTCATTACTTGCTTATGACTATAGCCAACCAAGAACTTAGGAGTCCTGGTCCTTAGAAAACCGCCTTAAAATGAAAATTGCTGAAAAAATAGATCGTCTTTCTTCTTTCTAAAAATTGGAAAAATCATATTTTAAATGAAAAGTGGTTTTTCAATTTTTTTGTACACATTCTCTTTTATTAAGAAAAACATTTCTAAAATGTATACACTTTTAGAAAAAATCCTTTCCATAATTCAGAACCAAGTAAAGCAATTTACTGTCTCGGCTTTTATATTAAACTTTCACTATCGTGAAGTGAAATCTTAAAATACTAATGTTTAATAATAAAATAGGTAACAAAATAAGCCAATAAAAAATTATTGAAGAACACCTCGGAAATCCACCATGAAATTTAAATATGAAAATTTTAGTTTTTATAATTTTATTGTCGATTTTTCTTATGAGACATTTTATTATATAAATTTAAAAATAAAAGAGTTTAAGTGAAATCAATTTCTTATTTATTTATGCATACTAAGAAAAGTTAAATAAAATTAAAAATTAAAAAGTAAAAGAGTTTAAATAAAATGATTGTATTATTTATTCATTATAAGAAATGTACAATAAAAATAATAATATTCAATAGTTTGTAAATTTGGCTCAAAAAGATGAAGATGAACAAGCAGAAGCAGAAGAAGAAGACTTTTAATAGTTCTCCGTGGTGCGGACATAATTAACGCCCGATGGCATGGAGACCTTGTCAAAGCCCTTGGGGAACAGCTTGTGGGCATCCGCATCGCTGACGCTGGGCAGGATCATCACCTTTGTGCCAGGCTACAGGACAAGTAGAAGAGGAAGAGAAATACAGATGAATGTAAATCAGTTAGCAAGTCTTTAAGCCATATCTAAGAGTAATACTCACTGTCCAATTTGCTGGCGTGGCAACCACCTTCAAGCGATCGGTCAACTGCAGCGAATCAATGCAACGCAGGATCTCACTAAGGGGAAAGAGGAAGCAATAGAGTTAAGGAGCTGTTGCAGCTTCAGCTAATGAGATTAATCAGACTAATCAGATTTACTCACTCAACATTGCGACCCATGGACATGGGATAGAACATGGTCAGGCGCACCTTGTGATCAGGGCTAATGATGAAGAGGGCACGAATTGTTTTGCCCACCTCGGGATCCTTCTTCTGATCCTCATCGAGCATGCCCAGGGAGACGGCCAGATCGCGTGTGGGATCCGCAATAATGGGATATGGAAACTCGCCGGGAATATCCAGGCAATATGACTTGATGTCATTCACCCAATCCACATGCGAATCGAGTGGATCCACAGAGTGGGCCAAGCACTTTGTGTTCCTCTTCGCAAACTCCGGCTGATGGACAGCAATGCGGCCCAATTCCGTAGTGCAAACGGGCGTAAAATCGGAGGGATGTGAGAAGAGCACAACCCAGCTGCAATTGAGGTTAAGAATGATATTAACCATTAACTGCTGACATTCTAATCGCCATCTATTATTCATTTATTCTCTTCCTTAACCATTGTAATACTCACGAGTTGCCCTGCCAGTCGTGGAAGTTAATGGGTCCCTTGGTGGTCTGCGCCTTAAAGTTTGGCATTGTTTGTCCCAGACGCATTTTGATTGATTTCTAGTTTTCGCTTTTATAAAACTCGTAGAAGGAAATAAGCTTAACTGTTTACTTGCTCAGTTACTTGATCACACTGAATGACAACTGTGCTGAGCTGAGGCCTTTTATACGCTCAGCCCACAGCCACGAAGAGTGAGAACGAACGAGAAAGAGGGCGACAGTGAGAGAGAAAAAGAGAGAGAGATAGAGATAGAGACCGGTCTAGCGAACGTTGTCAAAAGCTGTCTTATCTAGCATACATACACAAATATGTACATATATTATTACATACAACTGTACATTTGTGTTTATTTGATACAAGTTGAGGCATGCTTGGTTTACTGATCTATGTAGCAATAATAACAATAAGAAGTTAATTATATTAAATTCTTTTTTTCTATAAGCAGAAATGTTTTAATTTCAGCATTGGAAATTTATCAAATTTCTGATGAAATTCTTAAAGTGTTTTAAATGACGTTTATTCATATTGAATGTTTTTCAATAACAAAAATGATTAAATTTCGTCATTGGCAATTTTTCAGATTTCTGATGTTATTATTAAAATGCATTAAATGACGTTCATTGACAAATAGTTATTAAAGAATCCGTAGTAACTGTTCTAAAATCTATAACTCACAAATCCAAACTGAATCAAAACATAAACAGAGAGCCAAAAGCAGAGAGAGCACCCACTTCTTTAATGGTATTAGTGACTTTCATACAATTCGCAATACCAACGCACATTCTACGCTCATTTGAGACCCAACTCTCATTTGCTATGAGATCCATGTGAGTTCTGAGTTCTGAGCACAGAGAGCAGTGCTCTGCTTGATTGTGTTAGTGAGTTCAATGTAATTACCAACACATGCACACGCTCACGCTCACTGATTGTCTCATGTATAGAAAACTGTTAATTTGCTCAGCACTTCGTGAATTAGAGAAGCATTGAGGAAGAGAGCCACAGTTGGTATGGGAGTGTTGGTGAGTTCTGTACAAATCACCAATACTAAAACAAATTCACGCTCATCGATGCATCACACACAAATAGATGTGGTAACAATCGGTTCGGTTGAGCGTGCAACATTTTGGATAGGCTTGCAGCTTAAAAGAAGTTTAAAGCATAGCTGAACAACACAACAAATTATGCGGCACCCTGTATTCCAACTCAGAGTGCCCGTCACACATGTTCCTCAGCACCCTCCCCCTACCTACTTGCTGCTCTTAACTAGGTTGCTTATCTACGAGGCTAAATAATATATGTGGCATGTTGTTTTGCTTGTTGACAACCAAAGTCAAATGGAAAAACACCAGAGAATTTCAAGCGAGGCCAGATTATTGCGTTTTAGATTTCAGACTGAAATTGGTCAAATAAACAATTACAATAGAGCATGGGACAAAGATTAATTCCACATAAGCACATGTTTCACATTCAAATGACTTTGATACGCTTTGTTCTAGGGAGTTAAAGAAGTTTCTGTTCTTCTACTTGATGTGATCCCAACTTCTTCTTGATGTGATCCTAACTGGCTGACGACCTGTGGGCATCTGGTAGCTGTAGCATTGTGTCGAATACTGTGTTTCCCGAGTATTCCTACACATATTTCTAGCAGCACACAAAATGAGCGTAACTCTTCATAAGTATGGGTGTTTTGCATGTAGCTCACTAATACACTCACACAACCCGATGCTCTCTTCGTAAGTCTCTCAATTTCACGAAGCAGTCAACAGACACTCAAACTGCTCCAATACATGAGCTCACATCGACAGCCTCTGCTTTCATTCATGAGCGCAAGTGTTTGTGTGTATTAGTAATCGCATGGAACTCACTAACACAGTCAAACGAGGCACTGCTCTCTGTGCTGTGCTCTGTGACTCTGCTCACACAGATTGCGTTGGTATTGTAAACTGTATGACAGTCACTAATACTATTGAGGAAGTCGGTGCTCTCTCTGCTTTTGGCTCTCTGTTTATGTTTTGCTGCAGTCGACTGTTGTCAACTTGAGCTAATTGATCAGGTTTGCAATACACAAAAAGTAGCCGGCATTTATGATAATTTATCTGCAACTTTCGTCAAACTTTGCGAAATTTGCCGAATTTTTAACACATTAAAAGACAAAAAAAAGAAATATATTTAAGTGTGTACAAGAAAATACTTATATATTAGAATATGTATTATTTTGTTTGCTATTAGCTAAATAAAATAGGGGCAAGAAATTGATAGTAAAGAAATAATGATTAAATATTGATATAATTATATATAAACACATTTCATAGATTAATATCGCTGCTCATAATAAGAGTAATACATAATATATTTGTCATACTTTAATTATATATTTAGTGTATTTTAATATACATTATATATTTACATTTGCTATCTCTTTCGTAGTGTTTGTAGCCGGAACCAATCAACCTCAGCTGTGAGTATAAAAGCAAGCATTCAACACTTCTTTGGTTCAGAGAGCAAAGCAATAGCCAGCTGAAAGCTAGCCCAAGAGAAGCAAATTATAAACTAAAAGCTACAATTAATATATATAAATATATAAAATAACTGAACAATGTCGCTGGTTTCTGTCGCCGACTTTGAGCAAAAGGCAAATGGGCAGCTGGAGCCGAATGCCTTGGACTACTACAGGAGTGGCGCTGGGGAGCAAGTGACCCTGAACCTCAATCGCCAGGCCTACAAGAGGTGTGTATATTAATATCTAATATTTATAGTAATTATTATTCAGATCATTTTTAAATTTAAATATATGAAGTGGCAAATCGGTAAAAATCTAAGAAAATAAATAATTTCGACGCTGTAAGTTTATTTGCACTTTCGATAAATAAATATTTTTAGGAATTACAAATAGTAAATTTCAAATAAATAATTATATATTTTTGTATCTGACAACTTTTCACAGATTGCGTTTGCGTCCGCGTTGCTTGCGCGACGTTTCGAAGCTGGACGCCAGCTGTGAAATCCTTGGAGAGCATCTGAATTGGCCACTCGGCATTGCGCCAACTGCCATGCAGAAACTGGCCCATCCGGATGGAGAGATTGGCAGCGCACGTGCAGCGGGCAAAGCCGGCTCCATATTCATATTGAGCACACTGTCGACCACATCTCTCGAGGATGTGGCTGCTGCAGCGCCAGACACATGCAAATGGTTTCAGCTCTACATATACAGGGATCGGTAAGTGCTCGATTGGGCCACTGCTCTGCTCGTTTCCATTTCTAACCGTTTTTCCTGGACAGCTGTTTAACTGAGGAACTGGTGCGTCGGGCGGAGCGCGCTAACTTCAAGGCCCTGGTCTTGACTGTGGACACGCCCATCAATGGCGATCGTCGAGCGGATGCACGCAATCACTTAAGTCTGCCATCTCATCTCACTTTGGCCAATTTCAAGGCGGAGTGCACCCAAGGATTTGTGTCCAAGTGCGGCGGTTCGGGTCTGAATGAATATGTGGCCTGTAACTATGATCCGAGCATTTCGTGGCAGGACGTCAAATGGCTGCAGCAACTCACCCACTTGCCCATCGTGCTCAAGGGCATCCTCTCCGCTGAAGACGCGCTACTGGCTCGTGACATTGGCTGTGCCGGTCTCATTGTATCCAATCATGGCGGACGACAGCTGGATACGACTCCAGCCTCCATTGAGGTGCTGCCAGAGATTGTTGCCGCCGTGGGCAAGGATATGGTCGTCATGATGGATGGCGGCATCATGCAGGGCATCGATATATTCAAGGCCTTGGCTCTGGGCGCCCAAACTGTGTTCATCGGTCGCCCAACGCTGTGGGGCTTGGCTGCCAACGGACAGCGTGGCGTGGAGCAATTGCTGACCATTTTGAAACGTGATTTCGAGGTCACCATGACATTAACGGGTTGCCCCACTTTGGCAGATATTCGGCCAGCGATGGTCGTCCACGAGTCCGCTTATTGGCAACATAATTAATTTAAACTAGCCTTCTTAATCATATTTTACTAAGTTGCTTTCTTTTAGCATTTATATAAACAGTATATTGCATAATATTAAGTTGAACCCGAATGAATGATTAAGTTTACAATTCAATATTTAATTCATTCAATAATTTAAGTTCTGTATTATAAACATGTTCTTGGAAACTCCAATTTTAGATTCGATGTATACAAAATAAGAATTCTGAGTTCCGGAAACTATATTTAAATTCCAAGCTAATAAATTTGAATTAATTGCAATCAATATTTTATATTGCTTTGAGTCCTCGAAGGGAAACATGAATGTATACATTTTAATTTAGAAAACTTACTTGTTATATTTAAAAGTCGTATCTAAAATAAATTAGCAATATTTTACTTATCTTCGAGCCAAACTAGAGAAAATGAATTCTTAAAGTACTGTTAATTTGATGAGCACCAGCTGTCGGATCCATCAGTTTAGCGGTTCTAAATTAAAAAACCGTAAAGACAACAAATTATACATATGTGCTTAAGTTGATTAACATTTCTCTATTATCGATCTTGACGATATCACGTTAGGTCCATTGATTTTGATTTAGTGATTTCTATATTATAATTTGGCCTTTTTCCTTGTGTATCTCTTTCTCTCTTATACCTATTAGCTTTGTCTAAAAGTCCCTAGAAGCCCCTCTCTCTCTCTCTCAATCACTCCTTCAATATCACTCTCCCAATTTCTCTCTTTCTCTGTCTCTCTCTGTCTCTATTTAAAGTTATATATAATATGATCTTAACTTAAAACCGAGTGTGCGACTTTTTTTTATAGAAATATGTTTTTAAATTGGTTGTGCTTTTATAAACAATATTTCAAAGTCAATATTTAAAATGCGATTTATGCAAGATAATTGGCAACATTTTGGTCATTAACTAACTGGGTATGAATCCAATCAAATTGCGAGTATTCACAAATTTATCCGCCAGGTAATGCAATAAAAAAGTGTTTGAATGAAATCTTAAATGCCTCGCATAGATTTTTCCAATCACAAGAAATTCGCCCAAAGTCTCAAAACTGTCCATCAAATCGTCACTTACAAGAATCTAGCGAGCGTAATGAAATACAATTCAATGGAGTGAGTATTCCATCTTTTCAAATTCGTTGTAGAAAATAACGGATAAGACTTTTAACGGTTCAGCTTAAAAATATGCAATGGCAACGACAAGATGCCCAACCCGAAGATAGTTTGTCAGCAAAGTTGATTACCTTTAATGAAAGAATGTCAAAGTGTTTGGGTCCATTGGAAAAGTATGATTGTTTAGTCGCCCTGCAGGATTATGATATTGATTTGTATTACTGTTACTTGTGCAATAATATTGTTGAAGTTCTGTCCACAATTAATGCAATCGATGGCATCGTTGATTACTGCTTAAGGCGTGAGATAAATTATTGGACACATAATCTTGGTAAAGTTAGTAATTCTGCGAATCGGGCCACTTTAAATTGTTCTCATTCTAATTTTCGTAACTGTTCAAATTCTGAGTGCATGCTAAATTTAAGAAATATTCATACAACGACTGACAGAAGTGTGAGTAATGTAGAAAGACTAACAATTGATGGAAGATAAACTCGTTTCTACCAGCAGCGAAAAGAGAGCTGTGATGATGCTGATGAGAATGAAATTGAAGAATTACGTAAATGCTTGCGCACATTTCAAGATATCGTCGATTACGTGAGACCACTGTATCCATACGTAAGCAATTCGTAAATCACTTTTAGCTGTTGGCATTCAAAAAGCTAACGAGTACACAACGCAGCACCACTACAAAAAGCTACTGAGCATGTGCGAGAGAGAGCTTTTAACCACTAGTCGCGCGCACAGCTGTTGCACAGCTGTCATTTTGACACTCTCTCGAGTGTGAGGTAAACAAAAAAAAAAAGAAAAAAAGAGTCCAATAGTAATTGACATTTTTTCACCCACATTTGGGTTAACATTTTGGTTGTAAAACACGGCCGCATCGCCACTGTAAACCGTTGTATTAATGAAACATAGTCTAAAAAGGCGCGCCGAGTGCATTCCATCGTAAATCAAAAAACACCAGTCGACCAGTTTGTTGCATCAGTGTATTAGTTTCGGCTGTGTAGTTGCGCTTTACACACATAAAAAGCGTTTGCTGCGTTTAGAGGTCACCTTGAAACGTCAAAGCCGAAAAGCCTTTGGTGCTCGTCGACTACCGCCGCTGCTCGCTCGCTCTCGCAGCCAGTTACTAAAAATCGTCTCGCAGGCGACGACGCAAACGGCATCCGCATCCGCAGCATACTCATTACAAATTCTTGACATCCCACAAAGTCTTCTCCACTTGCTCGGCTTACGATCTAGTGATTCATTCAAAACCAAATCGCCTGTGTGCGTGTGTGTGTGTGTGTTACTCTTTTGTTTTTCGAATCAATTAACTCTGCTAAAAAAAAGAAAGAAGTGAATTAGTTAAAAAAAAAAATGAATAGTGAGAATCATCAACGTTTCCTTGCGCGCGGCTCGCAGCGCGACAAGGGTTTGGCCGTCTTCACCAGCGGCGGCGATTCCCAGGGCATGAATGCGGCTGTGCGAGCCTGTGTCCGTATGGCCATCTATTTGGGATGCAAGGTGAGTTTTTGACCTCTGCCAAGTGCTTTTGCCTTGGTATAGGTAAATGCTGTATGTGCTATAAATATATATACTATGTATATATGCCCACACACAAACTTTTGCTTATCGGTTAATGCGACCAAGTTCAGCCATTGAACTGTATACTATATATATATATATATATATAAATATATATATATCTATATGTGTGTAGCTGCAATCGCTCTCAAATTTATAGCATAATTTAAACAATTTGTTGAATTAGCATACTATGCAGATGTCGAGTGCCGTTAGATAACCCATGCCCGACTGAAAAGAAAGAAAAAACAAGAGAAAAAAAACATATATTTAAATCAAATAAGAGCGACCCACACACACACCAACTTGTATCTGTGTGTGTGTGCACAAATTTGACATTGAGTTTATTTCGGGCGACTTACAAAAACGAACACGCAGAATTAGCTGGGAAAATGCGGTTATTGTTTAAAAAGTGAATTACATAGACTAATTAATGCCTATTAGTTTTATTGATTGGCAAACATCAAAAATAAGTTGTGTTAATTTCCGGAGCCTTTTATTGGTTTGCCAAATTAACAGTTACGGTTTTATTAGCCTTTCTTGTTTGGCTTGAAAAGTTGCGAAAATTAAATAATTGAAAATGAAATAAATTACTCCAAATTCCATGATGACGACGCTTTTCGCAATGAATAATTTGTTGAGAGGCTGCTTTCCCAAAGTCACTTTCATTTTCCTTGAATGCCACTTTTCATTTTAAATATTCGCGCGTTTTGTTTTTCGATTTTCAAATCAATTTGAAATTGAGCTACTTTTTTTAATTCAACTCATTTCCAGTTAATTTAAATGCACTTTGTATAATTCTGTGGCTTGGAATGTAATTTGATTTTAATTCCTTTTGCTATAAATCTTAAATAAATTTAATTCCTTTGACAATTTATTTTTAATAATTTATTGATATTAAATAGAGAACAAAGTTAAGCATGACGTCAGAATGGTATTTCTCTGTATTAAGATAAAATACCTGATAATCTCAATATTGCATCATTATTACATTCATTCACTTATTTAGAAATTGTACTTATTAAACCCGATAAGTGTTAATATTGCTAAATAATTTAAATAAGTATTGCACAATGTTGAATTTATTCAAACAAATTTCGTGATTGAACAGGCGTATTTCATCCGGGAAGGCTACCAGGGCATGGTCGATGGCGGTGATTGCATTCAGGAGGCAAACTGGGCATCTGTATCCTCGATCATACATCGTGGTGGCACCATCATTGGCTCCGCCCGTTGCCAGGACTTCCGTGAGCGCGCTGGTCGCTTGAAGGCCGCCAACAATTTGGTGCAGCGTGGTATTACCAATCTGGTGGTAATTGGCGGCGATGGTTCCCTAACTGGCGCCAATCTGTTCCGTCAGGAGTGGTCCAGCCTTCTGGATGAGCTGGCAAAGAATTCAACCATTACCGCCGAGCAGAGGAACAAGTACAATGTGCTCCACATTGTTGGATTGGTAAGAGACGAATGCAAATTATTATTATATTATTATTATTATTTATATTATTATTGTGTTCAGGTGGGTTCGATTGATAACGATTTCTGTGGCACGGACATGACAATTGGTACCGACACCGCATTGCATCGGATTATTGAGGCAATCGATGCGATTGCCAGCACGGCCTACTCACATCAGCGTACCTTCATCATGGAGGTCATGGGTCGTCATTGTGGGTAAGTGATCCAGTTGTCCTTTTGGCTGCTGCTAATATGTTTAGCGTGTCTGAGATCTTATGGGGTAACTACTTTGAAATTGTTCTGCTCTCTGCCCGATTTGCATTGGTAATGCTAAATACGTTCATTACCCTGCAGTTATTTACCTGTTGTAGCTGGCATTATATCCGAGGCAGATTATGTCTTTCTGCCAGAGCATCCGCCTCCACAAGATTGGCCCGATAGACTCATACTCCAACTGCAACAGGCAAGCAAGCGATCCAGATTAATGAGTGTCTCATCCGACTTGTACATGCATTTCTCTATCCAATTCAAGCATTTGATGTTCTTATCCATATCTCCGACACGAAAACAAGAGTCGAACAATTCCAGCTCGCGATTAAGACAATCAGTATTGGAGCTATAGCTTATCTGTTGAGCGTTTATTTTTATATACTTAAATTCTATAAATTGAATAGTGATTTAACTTGACTACACAAAATTTCATTCGAAACTTGAATAGATTCAGCAATAGCAGACTGTGAAAGTCATCCAAAAATACCCCTGAATTTAAATACTAATATAAAAAAACAAACTGATAATTGAGAAGGGTACTTAAATATTGTTTTGTGTTCCATTTGATGGTTCAAAAATGTAAAATGACAAAACCTTTCCGTTTTTTGTCTTCTATCTGTGTAACACCTGTCAACAAATTTACTCTCTCCATTTTTGCTTGTTTCGATCAGCTTCAGCTTTATAACAAGTCAAATAAAAGTAGTTTAAACTAATTTAAATTCATAAATAAATATAATTTTGTCAAAATTGTTATAAATGCTGTAAGCACAATAATTTAATAGCTTGAAACGCTATCAGCCAAACAGCTGCTTGGCGCTAAATACTCCATTTAGCACGCGAAAAATTTAAATCGTTTTAGGCTAACATTTTTAACGCATTTATGTTAGCCATAGAATATTTTGTTGGCCTCAGTCCAAGCAGTTTCTGCCATCTCTTTCGTTAAAAAATTATCAAAGCAATTAAAACAGCTGTTGTTAAAATGTATATCTGATCAACAGCAAAAGTATTGAATTAAAATTGACATCGCCAACAAAATGTTTCTTCATCCAGACAACCAAAAACGAAATGAATGTCTTTGCAATTTGCTTAAATTGGAGCACGCCTTAATATATATATTTTTTTTGTTTTGTTTTTTTTTTGTTGACAAATGCCTGAAAGCCCCTTCTATATTTGTTCATATATCGTAATAAACAATTTATGTACTCGTATTTCATTCGTATCGAATGTTGTCTCTTTTTCTGCCCCTCTGAGTTATTCGACTTTGTTGTGGATCTAACATTTTAATATATGTATGTGTATTATCTGTAACCTATAATACTCCATATTTTTACAGTTATCTAGCGCTTGTTGGTGGCCTAGCCAGCGAGGCTGATTTCATATTTATACCCGAAATGCCACCGAAAACCGATTGGCCAGATAGACTTTGCACTCAATTAGCTCAGGCAAGAAGTTTAACTATATATTTGTGGATTCCTTTCTCTACACATATATATCCTATAAACTGTATTCTATATTCTATATTCTATATTCTTGATCCGTTGGTACACTCCACTCATAAAATACACATCACACACACACACACACACTGCAAGCAGGCACACATCAGACAGCATTTAGCAAATATATCATGTACAATTTTAATATCAGAATTTGCTTATTGCTTGGCGAATCTCTCAAATTTAGTCGATCTTAAGAGCAGGCTTTTCTATTTTCTTTTTAACATACATCAAGTGGTCCTTGTTCCCAACCGGTTGAATGATTCCATTATAATCTCGTGTTCCTTATCCTTATCCTAATCATGTTGTCAATAATCATCACATCTGCATCGGTTCTGTGTGTTTAATATTTTTCTGTTTTTAGCTACTTAGCAATTTCAGCGGCTATTGCCACAGAGGCTGATTTTATGCTAATTCCCGAAGAGCCCGTTGAACTTCTATGGCAGGACAGACTATGCAAAAAACTAGAGCAGGTCAGCAGTCTAATCTCTATTCTCTATACTCGATGGTGGTTTTATTGTTTCTTATTATCTATGAAAATTCTAACATTTCAAAATCTAACAGATGGTCAATAAGAGCTGCTGTTTATTGTCCAACGTTTTTCAAGCAAAAATTACTCACTAATTAATTGGCAATTAAATTGGCTTTTATTGGGTTCAAGTGTAGCTATCAATTCTTTTCATGGGGCAATTTAATTGGCTTTAATTTTGATATTTTTTTTTCATACACACCTGTTAAGTTGACAAGTAAATATAGTACAATCAGCTTCATATCAATATTATATGTTCTTTTTCCTTGTCACTTGCTATCAATCCATATTCGCCTTTATTCCAGCACACACTCAGAAATGTAGAAAATCGTTCTAAGATGAATATCGCTCTGAAAACAAGAAAGTTGTTCGTTATTTATATAAAACAAATCCCTCATTTCTCATTTTGGCTTTAAGATTTTTTTCTAATATTGAGAATAGATATCTAAAATATTTGTAAATATACGAAGAAAAAATTAATACGGCTAGAAAATTTCAAGATTTTTCTTTTGTATATTTAGTAATCATTTCTAAAAACATTATGCAGAAATTAATTAAATTAAATTAAAATTAGAAAAACTCTTTGCTATTGCTTATAAAAAAAATAAAAATTCATAAAATTTGAAATTCTGTTTTTTATGAAATATTTTTGAAAATAAAAAACTCAAATTTCTAGAAATAAAAAGAGTCGCAAGCTAGAAAGTAGTCGAATAAATATTTCAAATAAAATTATATGCATTTTATAAACTGTCTAAAAAACGAATGCTTAATAATAAAATAAGTAAAAATAAAGCTACATATTAAAAAAACAAAACAATCTGGAAAGAAATCTTAGAAAAATCTAGAAATGAGAGACTCGGGCTCTTTGAAATATCATTTATTAATAATAAGGTGAACAGCTTAACGATTTTCTACATTGATAGAACATTTTTTCTGAGTGTAGAACTCATGCAATGCTTAAACATTTATTGCGCTGCTGCTTTCTACTTAAACGCATTTATTTATTTTGTTCTAGTTTGTAATATCTGTACAAATACTGTTCATTGCTTTCTGTTCTCGCACTACTAACATCATTTCAAAAGACAAACCAATCATTTTGTGGAGCATTTTCTAATTTCTGTCTTGTTTGTCAATAGGAGCGTTCGGCTGGTCAGCGTCTGAACATTGTCATTGTTGCGGAGGGTGCCATGGATCGCGAGGGACATCCGATTACTGCCGAGGATGTGAGGAAGGTGATCGATGAGCGTCTGAAGCACGACGCTCGCATCACTGTCCTGGGTCATGTGCAACGCGGTGGCAATCCCAGCGCCTTTGATCGTGTCTTGGTAAGCCTTTTCACAAACTACTTGCACAATATATTTACTGACCATATTTATTTTTTTTTTTAATTAAAACAGGCTTGTCGCATGGGCGCCGAGGCGACCCTGGCCCTAATGGAGGCAACATCGGAATCGCTGCCTGTTGTCATTTCACTGGATGGCAACCAGACGGTGCGTGTGCCACTGATGGAGTGCGTTGAACGCACCCAGGCCGTGGCCAAGGCCATGAAGGAGCGTCGCTGGGCGGATGCCGTTAAGCTGCGTGGTCGTTCCTTCGAACGCAATCTGGAAACGTACAAGATGTTGACGCGCTTGAAGCCGCCCAAGGAATGCTTCGATGAGAATGGCAAACCGATCGAAGGCTACAGGCTGGCTGTGATGCACATTGGTGCGCCCGCTTGCGGCATGAATGCGGCGGTGCGCAGCTTTGTCCGCAATGCCATCTATCGCGGCGATGTTGTCTATGGCGTCAACGATGGCATCGAGGGTCTCATTGCTGGCAATGTTCGCGAGCTGGGCTGGTCTGTATAAATATAAACAATAACAAATATAAATCAGCTAAATTTAAACAAAAATTCTCATGTGCCTGTGCAGGTCGGATGTGTCTGGCTGGGTTGGACAAGGTGGTGCATTTTTGGGCACCAAGCGCACTCTGCCCGAGGGCAAGTTCAAGGAGATCGCTGCTCGCCTCAAGGAGTTCAGGATCCAGGGTCTGTTGATCATCGGTGGATTCGAGAGCTACCATGCCGCTGGCCAAATCTCCGATCAGCGTGACAATTATCCAGAGTTTTGCATACCGATCGTTGTCGTTCCATCGACCATCTCGAATAATGTGCCCGGCACTGAGTTCTCGCTGGGCTGCGACACTGGCCTCAACGAGATCACCGAAATCTGCGATCGCATTCGCCAATCGGCTCAGGGCACCAAGCGTCGCGTCTTCGTCATTGAGACAATGGGTGGCTATTGCGGTTATTTGGCCACGCTGGCCGGCTTGGCTGGCGGCGCGGATGCTGCCTACATTTACGAGGAGAAGTTCTCCATTAAGGACCTGCAACAGGATGTCTACCACATGGCCTCGAAGATGGCCGAGGGCGTTTCACGCGGTCTCATTTTGCGCAATGAGAAGGCCAGTGAGAATTACACCACTGACTTCATCTATCGCCTGTATTCGGAGGAGGGCAAGGGTCTCTTCACTTGCCGCATGAATATCCTGGGACACATGCAACAGGGTGGCTCACCCACACCCTTCGATCGCAACATGGGCACCAAAATGGCCGCCAAGTGTGTCGACTGGCTGGCAACCCAGATCAAGAACAACATCGATGCCAACGGTGTGGTCAATTGCAAATCAAACGATACGGCAACACTGCTCGGCATAGTTTCGCGTCAGTATCGCTTCAGCCCACTGGTGGATCTCATCGGCGAGACCAACTTTGAGTAAGCCTGGCATTTTTGTACAAATTTATATTATATAATATCTAATTGCAATTCCAAATCTAATTTAGTCAACGCATACCGAAGAAACAGTGGTGGCTGCGTTTGCGTCCCTTGTTGAGAATCCTGGCCAAGCACGATTCCGCCTATGAGGAGGAGGGCATGTACATAACCGTCGAGGAGGAATGCGACACAGATGCCGTCGCTTAGAGTGTTGTTAAATGCACAACAACAAAATTACCAATTATCACGCCCAGTGCACTAAAGCATTGCAGAATCAATGGTCAATATCAATGTTTTATTTTCATATATATACACTAAAATCGAAACAGCAATTCATTTATCTATTAATAGTTAAACAATAAAAATAAATGTCTCAGCTCAGGTCAAAGTTAAGCACTAAGACTCAAAGAATCCATATATAAAAAAAAAATGTATTTCTCATGCATACATCTATCTATACATGTAAAAAAAAACCATATATAGCAACAATTATTATTTATATTTTTACCTATTCTGTAAAAACCAAAATTATTTATTTTAGTTTATGTTTCTCGTTTTTGAGTATTTCGATTTATTTAAAAAACACACAGAGCACACTCTCAAGATTGTTTTATTTTGCATGTGAATGACTTAAATACATAAGATACAAACACAAATGAAATGTTCTACCTGGCGGAGCAAATTCTGCAATATATTCAACACACCGTTAGCATGTTATCATAATTGTTGCAAAAGATAAAAAAAAGAACATATAAATATATATCTAATGTTATAAATACAAATAAATCCATATAGTCTTGTCCAGAGAATATAAATAATGTTACACGATTTTAAAGTTTAAACGAAAATATCGCAAAATGCATCAGTATCCAAACTCAGTGTGAGGTTTTACAAATTCAAATAAATCCAACCACAGTACAAAACACATTTCGATTTAATTACGAAGAATTCATTAATTGTTAATTTCAGTTACAAATGCGAGTTTGAAATGTTCGTCAGCGTTATTCAACACTCTTCTCTGACCACAACGATATGGCAGCACTACACATCAATTTTCATCGATCTGGCAAGCCATAAATTTGTTTAAAAAGTACGCAAACTGAAATTTCATTAACAATTTAACGATTACAATCCACCTCCTGATCTCGCCACGGGTATCTCAAATCTGCCACGCCTGCGATGGCTAATCGCCGAATGTTTCTGATCGAGACTCATCCTGGCGTAGTGCAAATAGGCCGTGTCGCCGTGCACAATGGCCGACATTAGCAGCAGAAACTCGTAAAGATTCACTTTGCCCGGCGCATGGCAGTCGATGTCGCGCAACACGTTGTGCATCAGATCAACGGGTATTTCTTTCACCCCAAACGATTTCATGGCCGCACACGATTTACTAATGGACACAAAACCCGTATTATTCTCGTCGAGATTCCTAAAAAGTTCAGCATATTTCTGCACCTGATTCACCGTCAATTTGATGGGTATGCTCAAATGGGCTGGCTCATAAGCTGGACTGTGTCCCATTTGGGTGTTGAGAAACTTGCGCGCCTCCCTGATCTCGGTGGCCTTGCGTTTCTTCGACCAATTGAGCTGCTGGGCCATCTCGTTGGCCAAACGCGGCAATATCTCCTCAGCCACCTGGACATTGAGGAATGCGACGCGCAGTCGTCGCGCCACCATATCCACCAGGGTGCAGGCATAATCCTTGACGCCCTGCCTCACCTCGACCTCAATGTAGGGGAACTCGGTGTGCAGCCGCTTGCCAACAATTGGCCAGGAGCCGCCACACGAGTTGGCACAAACGGCCACCTTGAACGCGTTGGAGCCGTACGTGTCGGACAAGTGTTTGGCCACGTCTCGCTCCAGGCCAAAGTCCTGCACGAGGCGTATAAACATGTTGGGTGACCAGCCAATGGCACCATCCAATTTGCAACATTTCGCCGTTATCGAGTTGAGGCGCAACGGTTCCAGGCCCCCAATTCGAATGGCTGCATCGATTGCCTGCTCGGCAATCAGACGAAACGATGTCCATGTGGCGCCCACAATCGAGATCATTTTACCCGGCCCCAGCGAGATGACATGATTCCTCAAGCTCGAATCCGCCAGCTCTGCGGATTCAATCGGCAGCGGCTTGTAGCCACCCCAAACGGCGAGCACATCGCAACGACGCACATCAAAGTTGGGATTAATATAGTGCCTGATGCCATCCAAGAGATACTGCACCTCCATTTCCGTTGGATGTGGCCCCTCCATCGGATCGCGTCGCTCCCCCGCCGTGCCCATCAGTGTGTGCCCCAGCCAGGGTAAAAAGAATATGGCCGAGCCATGCCCGGGATGCGGATCGAAGAGACCCACCTGCTCGGGACAGTAGTAGTGGGGCAGCACCAGATGCGATGCCCAGCTGGGTATGCATTGTGGCGTCGCTTCGGCATCTTCCAGCCGGGAAATGGCATCGCTCAACGGACCCGTCGCATTGATCACAATCTTGGCACGTATCTTGTACGATTTGCCGGTCAGCTGGTCAACTGCCTTGGCACCCACAACCATGTTCTGCTTGTCGCGCAGCAGATCAATCACCTTCATGTGATTGCACACATCGGCGCCATACCGGGCAGCTGTCAGCACCACGGCCAGGCACATTCGGGCATCGTCGTGCTGCCCCTCGTAGAAGATGAAGGCGCCAAAGAGTTCGCGGCGCATCATCGGAAAGAGTTCGAGTGCCTCGCGGGAGTTGATGTAATGGAAACCCTTCGTTGGACCGGGCGCCATCAGATGATACAGATGCAGTTTGGCCCAGTAGATGGGCGTTTGCCACCAATGATGCAATGGCAGCATTATGGGCACCGGCTGATTTAAATGCGGCGCCAGATTGGCGATATTACTGCGCTCCTTCAGCGAGGAGTGGACGCGTCGAAAGGCAGCGCCATCCAAATGGGCTATGGCCTGATCCAGATCTCTGAGGCCGCCGTGCAGCAGCTTACTCGATTTCGATGAGGTGCCGCTGCCAAAATCATCAGCCTCAACCAGAGCGGTTTTCAAGCCACGCGTTGCCGCATCCAAGGCGCAACCGGCGCCAACAGCACCGCCGCCAATGATGAGGACATCGTACTCGGTGCGACGCAACGCATCCAGATTCATGCTGCGACTGGGCAGCTCACGTTTCATTTGCGGCATCCTGCTACGCCCATCCTGGCTGACGGCTGTCGAAGAGAACCCAAGCATTGAGCTGCCTGCCAGGACAGCAACATGGAACAATTTTGACATCTTTAATTATCAAATCAAAGAGACTTAAAGCTGACACACAAAAACATAAAAATAATAATCGAAAATCCAATGAAAAGTGGATTTGTATATATAATATTTTAGTATATACATATGTATATATATATATATATATTTATTTATTTATTTAAATATATGCAGTTTGGTTTGAATGTTGGAAAGTTAAACAATTATCTATGACGTATAAGAAAACTCCAGCCCACTTACTATAGCAATTAGTACAAAAAACAAGATGCCAAAACACATTTCACATTTCTCAATTATCATTTAGCTTTAAAAGAAAACATAGCACAAATTCTCCTCAACAAAATCGCGCTCGAGCTGCAACAACGAGAACAGCAACTTGCAACCGCCACATGCAATACCCGCAAGCGTATGGCACACACACACAAACACACACACACACACAAAGGCATGCAGCACATGGGAATGCGATTGTATATGTAAATGAATATGATGTATTTGTGTGTGTGGGTGAGTAGATGTGGTTGTGTGTGTGTGTGTCAGAATAGTTGCCGCATCCACGAATCTGCTGCAAGTTGCAGTTGAGGGGCAACAGCAGCAAGCGTGATTGGAAACATCTTTGGCTGTGCTTTGACTACTGTTTGGCGCCGCCGAAGAATAACTTGTAGAATAGCGTTGCAACTACGCAGAGAATCAATGGCAACAGCATCGATTTCATCGAATTCTGCTCGCTCTGATTGTCTGTGGTCCAGGTGGGCTCCGATTTCTGGGCCACTTTTGTGCGCTCGCTTTCGACCAGTTCACCGATTTTGAATTTTTTCATCATTTCGCGGGCATCGTTGCTGTGGCCCACATCCTCAAAATTCTCGGTGGCATCTTTGCCGGCCTGTTCGATCAGCACCTCTTCGCCACCAGGGTGCTGAGAAGAACAACAACAAAAAGAGAAGAAAATACGAATATATTAATGCTATATGTTGGATATGTAGATTATGCTAATAGATTGTCTGTTGGCCGTGAAATAATCACGAAAAACAAGCAGGAACAGCGCACAATCTAATGTTTTAAACATAGTATATTTTTTTTTAGAAGCCCTCCCCTTTCCCACCTCCCGTAAGCGACTGACTTGATAAGAGATTCCTATCCGTACACAGTGTTGATAAACGCCCAAACTTTGGATTGCAAGGTGAACGTGCCAGTTTCGTCATACTGACTTTGAAATCGTTGTAGTTCAAAAGATGCATTGTAATCATTAGAATACAACTTTAGCGGCGATCAGCAGTCTTATCATAAAAACAACAATTAAAACTATAATATGACAACGCTATTTCGTTTATGAGTATACTAGATAATAATATTAACAATAATGCTTGTCTCGCATAAAGTGTGAATGTTTCCAATTTTCTATTTACGTATTTTGACGAATTTTAACGCATTTTAATTCATATAAACAAGAAACAAGCGAAACAAACGAATATATCAAATTCAAGCCGATTAACAAATTTATTTACCATAAATTAATCATTTTTATGCAACATTTTATTCATAGTAAATTACGTCGGATTCCAATTTCCAAATAGACAAAATTTGCAATTCAATGATTTAAAAATAAAACACGTTTCTATTTCGGAAAAAGTCTCATTTCGGTTTTAGCAATTTTTTTTTTCGCTAGCGCTTTGCAAATAACAAATATGCGAATCCGTTTTCCAAACTGTTCTGAACTATTTACATACATATGTATGTGTAATATTTAAATAGGTTTCGACATTTGATTGAATTTCGATTTTCAGTGTGACGCCTCTACTTTTACATAAGAATAGCAAGCTGCGTTTGAAGTGGACAAATGGCATGTTAATTTTGTTTAACTTTTGCCCCATTTATGTTAGCGCTGATAATGCGAACAAATGCAAAATATAACAAAATACGAGCGCTTGTTAATTTGCGCGGGCAGTGTGAAACTGAATATAATATATGAATCGACTTGAAATATTCACATTTCGAAAGAGACATGCATAACTTTTGTATGGAAACCGATCCACTGGTAACAAAAAATAAAACAGTAGGTCACCTCACTGGTCAGAGGTCAAAGTACAGGGTGTACTTTGATCATGCTGTGTTGGTTAACAAAATTAATAGTCATGTTAAGACGAACTATTAAAGGTAAGTTTCACCCAGCAAAGGCAGAATAGGACAAGGGGGAAGGGGCAACGCAAATAATGTCAGCGCGCGCGCCCCCGCCCAGATTTCAACGTGTACCCAACACTGATTTAGTGATGTTGTGGCTGGTTTGCGGACATTAGATTGGGGCTCACCTCGTTGAGGAATGATGTGACATCGTAGATACTGTTGTGGATGAGCAGCCATGTGTCCTTGTTGGTGTTGTGCTTGGCCACATCGGCACGCGTAAAAGTTTTTTCACCCTCGCCAGACATATTGATGACTTGTTGAATTGCGTTTCTATTAATAATAGAGTTGTGAATTGGTTCGATCGAACGACTCGCTAAAACTGAATGAATGAACCGAATTCCGGACGGTGGTTCATCTGGTTCGTTACTCACAACTCTCTGTTATGTTAGTGTATCGTCTGTAATCAGAACGGTTGTGGAGCTGTTGTTAACGTAGCGAACTGCTTTTCAGTGTTGCACAAATCAAAAACATTATTATTATTATTACAAACATTAGGAATTTGTAATCAAATTCAGCATTAGGGCGTGTTTAGAGAAATATGGTTTTTGTTTTGTTTGACAAGCTAGAATGCCGGCGTTATAAATATGTGCAAAACAAACTTGAATATTAACCCAAGCAGTTCGATTTATATTATAATATATCGATAGTCTAAGATATCGATTAAAATAAAGAGCTTCTGTATACAACAATCAATACAGTGCGGGCTTTTAAATTCGTCGTAGTTCAAATTAAATATAACAATTAATAGTCCGAAAGCCACTAAGTTTTAACACAAGAATGAAATCTAATTTAATTGAAATTGTTATCAAATTTATCAATTTACATTTTTTCACAAACTAACATTAATAATAAATATAAAGTCTTATAATGATAATAAAAAAAAGTATTGAGGTGGGTTGAAATGTACCGATCGCAACTTATCGTTACCAGACAATAGCCTTCAAATGCTGACAGCAGGAATGCGCATGGTTAATTTAATTACCCCTACAAACTTTGATACGCTTGCACTACGCTGCGACAATAAATAAATAAAATAAAAACTGTCTGGGTTACATTACTAAGCAGAATAAAAGGTAAACGTACTTAAAGAATTATGAATGTATTTGCCCGTATGCATACGTAGTTTTACATAAGGACTATCAAAAAGCGGTACTCATATTGTGTTTAAGTACGTGTATCAATTATACAAATTATTCTTGTTGCTATTGTCATTACCAGTGTTATTTCTTGAATTACTGAAATAACACTATCTATTGCGTTATGATGGGAAACTTCAGCTTTTTGGCTTGATAACAAATTATAATTTGTGATTGATTAGGATACCGGCACAGGGAGAGAGAGAGAGAGAAATCGAAAAGCTTTTCGGTATTTAAAAACTAATGATGACATCTATAATTAAATTAGCAAACTGGCAAAAGCTTTAATTGCTTCCCCAGTCAATCAATTGAACCAAAAGACATGTGACGTTTTATAGATGGTCATTAATACACTATTAACAACAAATATAACATTCCCATAGAACACTACAGAATAGAATTAAAGCACTTTCCCATTTCGAGTGTGCGTATTTGGCGCTCTTCATTGATTTCAAGTTTGGTCTCGCTCTTTCAGCCTACTCTTACCTTATTAATAGCACAATAAACTGATAAACACTATCAGCAAAATCCGATATCAATGAATATTATTTGATACCTAGCCGTTCAAATATAAGCGCATATGTTTTTACTAATTTCATAAGTCTCTTTCATACTGTCGTGATATTCAGTTCGGGTTCATTCAAACGCCAGGCCGAAAAATAAGTGCACAACATTTAAAATAATGCCCGCGTCAAACGGAAATGTTGTCAAGGACGACGACAATCCCGGCTTATATCCCAAGTTATCCCAATATAAATCGAATATTGTTTTGGGCGATTCATTCGCTGGCAAAGACAAAGATCGCCACAGCTTGTGAGTAAAATAATGTAAATGTGGTGTTTGTGCAAATATAATAAGGATATATCATAAATTAAGTCGAATCGATCAACGAAACAATGCATTCGGAAAGTGCGTGTTATTATGTATTGAATTATGATTTTAAGAAGTGCTTACGTAAAAAATTCAAACATATTCATCAATTAAAATATATTTAAGAAGCACGTAGAAAGTATGTGAAAAGTTTATTTTATTAATGAATGCCTATATTTTATATATATATATATATATATATAATTTACAATTCAAGAAAACTAAATAAAATAAAAAACAAAATAATATTATTCAATATAGAAATAAAAAAAAAATGTCGTAAGAAATTAATTTTTTTTTTAATCCAGATGTATGCTTTACTTAATTGTGTTTGACAATTTACATAGGTCGATAATAAAACAAAGAATAAAACATTAAAAATAATTAAATTTAATATATAATATATTTATATATATAATATAAATATAAATATAAAAAAAATAAATATATATTTGATAATAAATCAAGGAACAAACAATAAAAATAATTTAATATAAAATACTCGTATATGTAATAGATATATATTAAAATATATATAAATATATATATATATATATATATATATATATATATCCTAATAATTGAATATTATTCATCTGAAAAATTGTATCGTATTGAAGAAAAAATCCAGTAACCATGATCGTGCACCTTTTGGACACGCGATTCGCATAATTCTATCGGCTCGTCGAGTGTCATAAATTATATTGCACCGATTGATATTAAAACAACAAAGAGCAGATAAAGATACATGTGACCATTTTGTCCTGTACTTCTTTAAATATGTACTGGTTTTTCGACAACTTGTGATTCGGACGTGTCTAATAAAAATAACAAATTAATGACGAAATCGATTAATAGTTTAAATATTCGACAATAGCGTCTAATCGTCGGAAGATAGAATGCATAACGTGGTTTTATAGATTACACGAGTGGTGAATTGGACAGCCTTGACTGGCACTGCGGTCTGCGATAAGAACTAACAGTGACAGTAACCAATAGTCTGCGTTGAGGGTTTTCCATGCCAATTTATCAAATTTATTGCATGTGATGTGTCCTTACCAATAGTCTGATTTGTGCTTTGTTCCCTTCAACAGCCAACCAAATAAGACGAAAAAGAATGACAAAGCCGACGAATCGACTGACGGCGATAAGGATGACAAACCGCAAGACGACGTTAAACCAGTGGCCTTTTTCAAAATGTTCCGCTATGCATCCACAAAGGATCGTGTGTTATACATCATTGGGTTACTCGGTGCCGTGGCTACGGGTCTGACAACGCCAGCAAACAGTTTGATCTTTGGCGATCTCGCTAATGTAAGTATATCGGAACACTTGTTAGTTGGCATTCATGCCAATAGACTCCAGGTGCCGTATGATGACTTCTGCAGAAGCTGTAAAGAAGAGGAAGAAGTAAACTCTTCGAAACACTTCTACTGCTTCTGCCCAGCACTTGCCAGGAAGCGATTGGCAATCCTGGGAAGCAATTCCCAACCATTTTAACCAAACTTAACCAAAATTATATCAGTTAGGTGTTTAAATAATGCAAGCTTGGGTAAAGGGATTTTCAAATCAATGCATTTGTCATAATATATTTAGAAAAACTTAGTTGGTTATTTAATAACAATAGCTTTCATTTATTTTCGCGGTAGTTCGTAATAATAAAAAAAATTATTTCAATTATTTAGATACTTGGTATTTGTTTCCTGCCAAGGCAGTTTTAGAAAGGACAGATCTGTCTGGAAAAAGAGTTAATTGGGAACTAAGTGATCAACCCTTATTACTAATAGAGCCTTATATCTTTGACATTGTTAGTGATAACAAATACTAAATTGTATATGCTGAAGTCTGTGCGTAGTAAACGACTGATAAGCTCGATGATAGATAAGAGTTGGCATGCCGAATTTAATATGCTATAAGTACTACCTGACTCAGTCCAATATCAGTGATTTTACTATTCATACAAAAATGTACGTGTAGAAAAAAATAAAAACAAAAACAAAACAAAGTTTCTTTTAGTGAGATTTCTTTTAACAGTATACAACTCGTAATAATTAGTAGAGAGGACAGCATAAATTCAAATTGTCTGTTTTATGCTGTACAGCATTTATAGTAAAATCATTCTTCAAAATTATTGCTGATATGAAGATATAACTTGTACATTTTTGCAATGTTTCAGGAAATGATTGAGACCACCGGCTCCAACTCCGCGGATTGGATTGATCCATTTCTGGCAGCTGTGCAAGATTTTGCACTTAAAAATACTTATATCGGCATTGTGATGCTGTTCTGCAGTTACATTTCGATCACATGCTTCAATTATGCTGCCCAATCCCAGATAAAGACAATTCGCTCGAAGTTTTTCAAATCTGTGCTGCATCAGGATATGAGCTGGTATGATATCAATCAGAGCGGTGAAGTCGCCAGTCGCATGAATGAGTGAGTATGACAAAGTTCCTCTACAGTGTTTTTACTAAGAGTCTAATTGTGTATACCAAAACAGAGACCTGTCCAAGATGGAGGATGGCTTGGGTGAAAAAGTTGTGATTTTTACCAATTTTATTGTTGCCTTCATTGGATCCATTGTGCTCGCCTTTGTCAAGGGCTGGCAGCTATCGTTGGTTTGTTTGACCAGTTTACCTGTGACTTTTATAGCCATGGGTTTTGTTGCTGTCGCCACATCCAGGTTGGCCAAACAGGAGGTGAACATGTATGCCGGAGCTGCCGTCGTTGCCGAGGAGGCATTATCCGGTATCCGAACTGTGAAGGCATTTGAGGGTGAATACAAAGAGATTGCTGCATATAAGCAGAAAGTGGTTGCCGCCAAGGAGCTGAACATTAAGCGTAACATGTTCTCTGGCATTGGCTTTGGACTGCTCTGGTTCTTCATCTATGCTTCGTATGCGCTGGCTTTCTGGTATGGAGTTGGATTGGTCATCAAGGGGCGCCACGAGGAATATTATGAAAACTACACGCCGGGCACCATGATCACAGTGTTCTTTTCGATAATGATGGGTTCGATGAACATTGGTATGGCATCCCCGTATATTGAGGCATTTGGCATTGCCAAGGGTGCGTGCGCCAAGGTATTCCAAATCATTGAGCAGATCCCCATCATAAATCCCCTTGAGCCCAGGGGCAAGAATCTCAACGAGCCGCTGACGACCATTGAGTTCCGAGATGTCGACTTTCAGTATCCCACACGCAAGGAGATACCCATTCTGCAGAAGCTCAACCTGAAGATTCAACGTGGCCAGACGGTGGCACTGGTGGGTCCGTCGGGATGTGGCAAGTCCACCTGCATCCAGTTGCTTCAGCGCTTCTACGATCCGCAGGATGGTGATCTCTACTTCAATGGCACCAACATCAAGGATATCAACATTAACTGGTTGCGTGAGCGGATCGGTGTGGTTGGCCAGGAGCCCGTGCTATTTGGTCAATCCATCTATGAGAATATCCGTTATGGCCGTGAGGATGCCACCAGAGAGGACATTGAAGCGGCAGCTGCTGCTGCCAATGCAGCCATCTTCATCAAGAAACTGCCCAAGGGCTACGACACGCTGGTGGGTGAACGTGGTGCACAATTGTCTGGCGGACAGAAGCAACGCATTGCCATTGCTCGGGCATTGATCCGTGATCCGGAGATCCTGTTGCTGGACGAAGCAACGTCAGCGCTCGATACGGCCAGTGAAGCCAAAGTGCAGGCTGCCCTGGAGAAGGTCAGCCAGGGACGCACCACCATAATTGTGGCACATCGATTGTCGACGGTGCGTCGTGCCGATCGCATTGTGGTAATAAACGCTGGTCAGGTGGTGGAGAGTGGCAACCATCAGGAGCTGATGGCTATCAAGAGTCACTACTATAATTTGGTGACCACACAGATGGGCAATGATGATGGCAGTGTGCTCAGTCCGACGAATATCTACAAGAACTTCGATATCAAGGATGAGGATGAGGAAGAGATCAAAGTATTGGAGGACGATCTCGATGAGGATCTAGATGATGATAAAAACACGAATAAAAAGAAGAAGAAGAAGAAGAAGGACATGAACGAGACGTCCGCAATGATTGGTATAATTAAATTGAATAAGCCCGAGTGGGTGCAACTCCTAGTTGGATGCATTTGCTCAATTATCATGGGATGTGCCATGCCCATATTCGCTGTACTCTTTGGCAGCATTCTGGAGGTGATGAGTTCCACGAATGATGACTATGTGCGCGAGAATACCAATCAATACAGCTTATACTTTTTGATATCGGGCATTATTGTTGGCATCGCCACGTTTATGCAAATCTATTGCTTTGGCATTGCCGGCGAACGCCTCACGGAGCGACTGCGTGGGCTCCTATTCAGTGGAATGCTCAAGCAGGAAGTGGCCTGGTTCGATGAATCTGCCAATGGCACTGGAAACCTCTGCGCCCGCCTCTCTGGAGATGCTGCTGCCGTTCAGGGTGTAAGTATACAAAATATTTTATAATTTAAATTTTAAAAAAATATATCCTTTTGTCATCCCAGTTAAAAAGATGTGATTCAAAGTGGCTTTTTACTTTTATGAACCAGCTTACCAATCCTTTGGCTTAGTATTCAAATAGGGTTTTAATTTAAATTCGTAACAAAAGAAATTTTGCCTTGATTTGTCATCAAATTTCCTGGTTTCAATTCGCTAATTGAATTATATTCAAGCTTTATTCAATTTTAGGCTTTTATTCAAGATTAACTATTACATTTGACTCAATATTTGTGTAACATTTAAACAAGCTTAAAGTTATGTTTAAATCATTTAGTTTAAATCGTTTACCTGGCCTGAATACGAATTTTTGAATGAATTATAATAGTTATATCCTTGTATTTCCTGAATTTATCACAAATTGCTACAAAGGATCCAGTGAAGTTGTGCAAATGTATAAGCCCGACTATATTCTTCACCAGGTTCAACCACCCAAATTGATCTAGCCATTCCAAGATCCATTCCATTCTAGCCCTTCCATTCCAAGATCTGTCTGTATCTATAAGCGCTACAGATTTTCATTTTTTGCGCAGGACAACTTTATTTCATAAAATCGATAACTGCTTCCATTTCTCGGATATCGATACAAATCCGCAAGTATCGATATTGATCAGCAGTAAGAAATTCATTTGGATCCCAGTTATACATCCCAGTCCGCAACCTAGCGCCATTTTTAGTTTGCAAAAATAATAAACAAATAAATACGACTGATATGACTTATCGTTGTAGATATTGGGTTCGTAGCTGAATGCACACACATAAATAAAACTTAGCGCCATTCTTTACAACTTACAACTGACTGATTAGAAATGCGATCATATTCACATCGACTAAAAGTTGAGTGTGCAAATAGTTTATAAGTAAATTTAATTTAATTAAAAAAAAAATTAAATTTAAAAATTGATGGAACATTTATCGCTAAGCCCAAGATAATATATGTGTGTATTTAACAACTGGCTGCAGGGTATATCGTAGTTGAGCTTACTCATTCAAACTTTTTATTATGCAGGCAACTGGGCAGCGCATTGGCAGCATTATCCAATCGATTGCTACTCTGATATTGGGCATTGGATTGGCGATGTTTTACGAATGGAGTTTGGGGTTGGTGGCAATGGCATTTATGCCCATCATTTTGATATCATTCTACATGCAACGCATTGTGATGGCCCAGGAGAACATGGGTAATTCGAAAATCATGGAGAGTACAACTAAACTGGCCGTTGAGGTTGTCTCAAATATTCGCACCGTTGTTTCTTTGGGCAGAGAGGATATGTTCCATCGCACCTATATTACAATGCTGGAACCAGCTGTCGAGGTAAGCACAACTTGACATTATTTATAGCAACAAATTTGAAAATAATATATATGTATATACACTCTATGCATATAGAAATCGAAGAAGAATACGCATTATCGAGGCATGCTTTATGGTCTGGCCAGATCAATTATGTTCTTTGCCTATGCGGCTTGCATGTCCTATGGAGGCTATTGCGTCGTCCATCGAGGTCTTCCATTTGGAGATGTCTTCAAGTGAGTTGCACTTTAAATTGAACTTGTATATAAACTTAGTGTATTATATTTTATATTCAATTATAGAGTATCGCAGGCACTGATTATGGGCACTGCATCGATTGCCAGTGCTTTGGCCTTTGCTCCCAATATGCAAAAGGGTATAAGTGCTGCTGAAACCATATTGAAATTCCTGGAGAGGAAGCCCCTGATTGCCGACAGTCCTGGCGTCGACTACAGTCCCTGGCACTCGAATGGCAATGTTCGCTTTGAAAAAGTGGAATTCAGTTACCCGACACGTATCGAGGTTCAGGTGCTGTGTCAGCTCGTCCTGGGTGTGCAAACGGGCCAGAAAGTGGCATTGGTGGGTCCATCGGGCTGCGGCAAGTCCACTTGCATTCAGTTACTGCAGCGCTTCTACGATGTCGATCGCGGCGCCGTTCAGATTGATGATCACGATATTCGCAATTTGGCCATTTCGAATCTGCGCATGCAGCTGGGCATTGTCTCGCAGGAGCCGATTCTATTTGATCGCAGCATCCGTGAGAATATCGCATATGGTGACAATTCGAGAATCGTTACGGATCAGGAGATCATTGCGTCGGCCATGAAATCAAATATACATCAGTTTATTGCCAATTTGCCATTGGTGAGCATATTTCTTTTTTTTGAAGCCTTTCTAATATTGGCCAACTAACAATTTCGATATTATTATTATTATTATTATCCCCACAGGGCTATGAGACACGTATGGGTGAGAAGGGCGCACAGTTATCCGGTGGTCAGAAACAGAGAATTGCCATTGCACGAGCTCTGATTCGTAATCCCAAGATCCTTTTGCTGGACGAAGCCACATCCGCATTGGATGCGGAAAGTGAAAAGGTATGTTTGAGACAACAAATTTTGATTTATTTAATTATTTAATGTGAACTAAAAGCAGCTCACAAATGGGTTTGAAAAATAAATATTTAAAATAAATCATAAAATGAAAATTTAAATCACAAATTAAATAATAAACAACAAAACACAAAATGAAAATATAAATAATAACTAAAAACAGTCCACAATTAAAATATATATTTATATATACTCACATCAATTTGATACAATTAAAAGTGGATAATTAACATACAATTTTAAATGAAAAACGACAGAAAAATAAGCATTTAATAAATCTAAAAATAAATGTAAAATAGTCATTCCGTTTGAAAAAATAAGCTTTTTGTTTAATTGTGTTTAATGTGGACTAAAAAGAGACCATAAATATTCAATTAAAAGTTAATCAAATTAAGATTCAAAATGAATAAATATTAATATTAAATATAAAATCTTATCCTATGCAAACTACAATTTGTATTCCACCTCTCATTTCCCAGGTCGTGCAAGATGCTTTGGATGCAGCTGCTGAGGGGCGCACCACAATTACCATTGCCCACAGATTGTCCACCATTGTGGACTCGGACATCATTTATGTATTTGAGAACGGAGTCGTCTGCGAGAGTGGCTCACACCACGAGCTACTCGAGAATCGTGGACTCTACTACACTTTGTACAAACTGCAAACGGGAGCCATGTAGCAGATGTCCAACATTATATAGGCTAATGAATTTCGATCAATGACAATTTAGAATTTTAAATGCGATTTTAGTATTACACTGTAAATAATTAGTTTCATTCATCATCCAAACAAATATGTACATATTTAATACTTAAGAACTCTTAATAATAATAAATGTTGAGCATAGAATCAAACGAAACTTTAAAAAAAAAGTGTTATTTATTGGAAAAGGTATAAATGATATAGGAAAATCCGAAATTTCAAACAAGGGAAAGTTGCCAGGTCGCTTCTTAAATTTGAAAAGCTCACATTAAATTGATATACTTTGATAAAACGATTCATGATAAGGAAAATATTTATGAATGTGTATACATACATATATTTCTATATATGTAAATACGTATATATAGCCCAATACATTCGTCATACCAAACCCAAACCATCAGATTATTGTTTTCGATGCTATTTTCTTAGTTGTTCTGTTCATTTGTTATTTACATAAATAAACAAGTAAATTGCTGCACAGACAAGTAAAACATTTGTGTGATTTTTTTGTTTCAGTTTGTAAATAATATTTTCTTTTGTTCACGTATAATTTAAGTTTACATATTTATAACGACTATGCAATTGCATGTTACCCAGTCAAATTTCTGGTTATCCACTGGAAACTGGAAAAGTATAATTCTGCTTAAATTATGACTTTCGATCATCTGCCAAACACACTTTTCATGTTTTTCATATTATTTTTGCGGCTTGGGCTGCTGTGCTCGTTTTATTGTACAACTACAACTAGTTTAAAATCAACGTAAAGTAAATATAAGGAAAATCTTACAGTAGGCACAGCACACAACTCCACCACAGATATTCACATATGATTTCGATCCAGACGTTCGAGTGCATTATAAACAATAAAAACTTAATGCAACTGTCGTGACTGAGAATTACTGATCGCATATCGTTCAGGGTCGAAAGTGTCGTTATCGTCATCGCATATTACTATACAATTTGGGTAAATGCTTCTTTTTTTTTTTTGTTTTTTGTTGTGTTTTTTGTGCTCATGAGTTTTGGGGGTCGTGAGGCATTAAAGATGATTTTGAAGAATCAGGAATATGAAGTTAACATAGAACTTAATCGAAATCCAAATGTGATTATTATGAAATAAGTGGGGAACAACATTTTACGTCTACGGTTGTCTAATTTAGTTCTTCTCCTCCTTCTTGGCATCGCCAGAAGTTTCACCTGAACTGCTGCTGCTGCTGCTGTTGCCACCGGCTGCGTTACTCTCGCGTTCAGCGGACATCTACGAAACATAATATATTTTATATAAATATACAGGTTTGCTTAAGTCAAGTATTTACCTTCTTGTATGCCATCTCGAAGAGCTTCAGGGAGGACTGCTGCAGCTGTGTGGTGGCTTTCCTCACCTCCTCTGGATCGGCCGTCTCTTTGTTGGCTAGCAGGGTGCGCAGATCGGCAATTTCTGTTTTCAGCTTCTCGCACTACAAATACAATATTCAGATAAAACACACATCTTTATTTTGGTTATATTATTTCACTCACCTCTTCAGCGGGCAGTTGGCTCTTGAACTCCTCCATTTTGGTCTCTGTGTCGTGCACGATGCTCTCGCCTTGGTTAACAATTTCAATCAGTTCGCGCTTGAGCTTGTCGGCACTGGCGTATTCCTCGGCCTTCTTGATCATGTTCTCGATCTCATCCTTGCTGAGGCCACCGCTCGACTGAATGACAATCTGTTGCTCCTTGCCGGTGCCCTTGTCCTTGGCCGAGACGTGGACAATACCGTTGGCATCAATGTCGAAGATCACCTCAATTTGTGGTACACCGCGTGGTGCTGGCGGAATGCCAACCAGAGTGAAGGAGCCAAGCATTTTGTTGTCATTGGCCATTTCACGCTCACCCTGATGCACCTTGATCTCCACCTGAGTCTGGCCATCGCTGGCCGTCGAGAAGACCTGCGACTTCTTGGTGGGAATGGTCGTGTTGCGCGAAATCAAACGTGTGAAAACGCCACCCAATGTCTCAATGCCCAGCGACAGTGGCGTCACATCGAGCAGGAGCACATCAGTGACATCACCAGCGAGAACACCGCCCTGCACAGCAGCGCCAACGGCAACAGCCTCATCGGGATTAACGGAACGCGACGGCTGGCGTCCAAACAGCTCCTGGACTGTGGCCTGGACCTTGGGCATACGGGTCATGCCGCCGACGAGCAGAACTTCACCGATTTCCGACTTGGATACCTCAGCATCAGACAATGCCTTCTGGCATGGCTGAATTGTGCGCTTGATGAGATCCCCGACCAGGCTCTCCAGCTTTGCGCGAGTCATTTTCAGATTCATGTGCTGCGGTCCAGCGGCATCCATGGTCAGATATGGTAGATTAATGTCGGTCTGCTGCGAGGAGGACAGTTCGCATTTGGCCTTCTCAGCGGCCTCCTTGAGACGCTGCATGGCAATATTATCCTTACGAATATCAATACCGCTGTCCTTTTTGAACTCTGCCACCAAGAAGTTAACAATGGCATTGTCGAAATCCTCGCCACCCAGCAGAGTGTCGCCATTGGTGGATTTTACCTCAAAGACGCCCTTTTGGATCTCCAAAATGGAAATATCAAAAGTGCCGCCACCCAAATCGTAAACAGCAATGCTAAATCAGACAATACATGAAAATGCATTATTATTGCTAAAGTTCCAAAAGAAAGCCGATTGAGATTGGTTTACTCACATTTTGTCCTCGGTTTTGTCCATGCCGTAGGCCAGAGCAGCAGCTGTTGGCTCATTGATGACACGCAGCACATTCAGTCCAGAGATTTGACCAGCATCCTTGGTAGCCTGACGCTGGGAGTCATTAAAGTAGGCGGGCACAGTGACAACGGCGTTCTTGACGGGCGTATTCAGATATGCCTCGGCTGTCTCCTTCATCTTGATGAGGATGAAGGCGCCAATTTGCGAGGGTGAATAGACTTTGCCATCTGTGGAGGAGACCCAGGCATCGCCATTCGATGCCTTCACAACTTTGTAGGACAGATTTGTGATATCCTTCTTCACCTCGGGATCATCGAAGCGTCGGCCAATCAAACGCTTTGTGGCATAGAATGTGTTGGCCGAATTGGTGACAGCCTGACGCTTGGCGGGCATGCCAACCAAACGTTCGCCATCCTTGGTGAATGCCACATGGGAGGGTGTTGTCCTTGCACCCTCCGCATTCTCAATGACCTTCGCCTGCTTGCCCTCCATCACGGCCAGGCAGGAATTTGTGGTGCCCAAATCGATACCGATAACGGCGCCCTTAACCTCACCTGATCTGTGGCGGTAACACAATAATAACAATAATACGGAAAAGCACATGTTAGCAATAGATATAAGCAATTTTGATAAGATTACAGTGATTACAGTGACAACAACAGAGAGACAAAGAGTCAGAGAGAGGCAAGCGATAAGAGCCTGGGTTATGAACTGTTTTAATTATTTAATATAGTCTATACATTCCCCATATACATTCAAAAGAATTTAAGAAGCCCAAAACAGACTCAACTTTGCTTCGCAATTCGAGAAAATTCTTTTGAATAAAATTAATCAAAAGTTGAATTCTTATTCTTATTGGATATTGACTATATCTAATTAAAAAAAAATAAAAAAATTAACAATACTTTAAATTTTAAACTAATGCAGTTATATAAGAGCAATGTCGAATCACCCAACAATTTTTTTTGTTTTGATTGTACAACATAAATCATATCAAAGAGAAGTTCAATTGAACAGGAATGCTCAGCACTGTAACTGCATGCTAACGATATCTATATATGTTTGTTTGTATGTATGTGTGTAGTAACGAATGATGTTTGATGTTTTTTATCAAAAACTGCTGCAATATTGTGCGTTGAGCATGAAATCGAAGCAACAATATGGCTTCTTACATAAGTAGCTGACAATGGTTTGATCTTAAGCTAGTCGCTAGTTGTGATGCGGCGGCAAAATAACACAATGTGCAGCAAATAGTTGTAATAAAAGTCAAAGTTCACTTACTTGTGGCGCAATTGATTTGAGAGACCATTGCAGGCACCAGGCAGATTCTGCAAATAATCGAAAGTATGCGTTTATTTTCAGAAATATATGAGAAAACTTTAATAACATGAAAATGACATGACGGCGACGAGCTAATTGCGAGAACATGCCGCACCGAGCGTATTATGTAAAGCGTATTTTGTACTTACGCGGAAAATGCTAGAAGCAGCCGACATATTCGTTGGCGTTGCTAGACTGGCCTGGCGTGCGAGGCGTGGCAGAAACTTGGGAACGCGCAGCATATTTAATTCTTGGTTTTTCTTTTTGTAATTTTACACTGGCACTGATACTAATTATCAAATAAAGTGCACCGCTATTGAAGGCGAAAATTTCGTCAGAGCGAAACCACGAGCACGTTTCCCCAACGAGGGCTGGATAAAGACGGAATGCGGAGATGTGAGCAGCAAGCAGCAGCGTATGGAAATAAATCGATTGAAACGAAACACGCAGCGTTGCATTTGATTGCGAACCGCGGACCCACAGAGCTGCCAACGTTATCAAAGTGGCAAGTGTATGTGTAATTTCTTCCAAATTTTGTACAAATCTTCGAAGAATTGATTTAGACTGATGTGTTTTGAAAATACGGACTGAAAAACTGTAACAGCTGTGCTGTGATTAGCTTGATAAATGAAGTTACAAGCTCGCCCTCTCAACTAGGTCCGCTCGAAGCACCCTGTGTGTATGATATTTCGTGTTTCATCACACGTGTTGTTATTATTGCGTAAAGTACAAAAAGAGCAGTACAAAAAAAATATATATATTTCAAAATTTTTATCAAAATTGAATCATAGAAGGTCGTCACAACCGATGCTGGAGCTGCTGCTGCTGCTTTCGTACACCCGGCACATTAGACACTCTGAGCATAAGCTGTCGCTTGTCGAACTGTGAAACTCGGCGATATGGCATCGGACAACGAATCCGACGCCGAACTCGATGAGAACTATTACACATTTCTCAACTTGCCGCGAGATGTGAGTGCAACGTTATGACGTCACTCGTTCATCTGTTAATCCTTTGTTGTTGCAGGCAACCGGCGAACAGATTAACACCGCCTACCGAAATCAGAGCCGCATTTATCATCCGGACAAACACTTGGAACCGGATAGCAAGAAGCGGGCCGAGATGATGTTCAATCGAACGAAACGGGCCTACGAAGTACTCTCTGATCCGCACCAGCGTGCTATCTACGATTCGATTGGCGAGAAGGGTCTAAAAACCGAGGGCTGGGAAATAGTGCATCGAACGAAAACGCCGGCAGAGATCCGGGATGAGTACGATCGATTGGCACAGGCGGCTGCCGAGCGACGCTTGCAGCAGCGCACTAATCCTCGTGGCAATATCACCATCAATGTAAATGCAACAGAAATATTTACTCCGTACGACGATTCGGAGATGCCGCGCGTGGAGATCGGTTCGATGAGCATTGCCCAGTCGATTGAGGCACCCATAACGCGCAAGGACATGATCATCATGAGCGGCAATCTCTACTCGTCCAATGGCACAGGCAATGGTGGATTTATGATTGCGGGTCGTCGCCTGCTTAACAAGGGCTGGATGGAGGTGTGCCTCGGCGCCGGCAATGGTTTCCTCTTGGGTCTCAAGGGTAAGCATTGAGTGCTTACTGGCTTGGCGCCTCCCAAATTAATTCATCCACTTGCCACTTAACAGGTGGACGGACGCTGACTTCGAAGCTGACACTCAACGGCGGCACAAACATGAATTTCCGGGAGAACGGTGTAATACCCGCGGTCTTCTCCTCGCTAGCCGTGCAGCTGGACAAGCACACCGTTGGCAGCTTAACACTGAACGCCGGTCCTCAGTCATCCATGTCTACGCAAATCGATCACTCCAACGATCTGCATGCAATCAGCACAAGCTTTGTGATCGGAACACCTCACATTTACTTTGGCATCTCCTACACGCGAAAGATGATGGAGAACGAACTGAAGTTGAAGTTGGCGACGAAGTAAGACTGTTTTTTATAAGTGTTGACGATCAAATCAGATCACTATATCATATTGCAGTCATATCTGTTGGAGGAGTCATTTAAAGTTCCTTTCTACATTATTTGTATTATTTTATTTATATCAAACAACAAAATTTTTTGGCTAATATTAGATTATCATTTTATAAACAGATTAGATGATAAGATAATAATATTATAGTCGTAGGATTGCAGATAATAATTTCTATATATGCAATTTTTATTCAGCGAAATTTCTTTGATTTCAGAGTGGGCACATTTGGCTTTTTGGGCGAATATGGAGTGGAGAAGAAGGTTTCTAAATACAGTTCGGTAATCGCAAGCGTATCCATTGGCGTGCCTTCTGGAGTCATACTCAAATTAAAGTGAGTTTCAAAATCAGTTCCCAAATGTATTCTAAATTTACGAATCGCACTCAATGCTTGCAGAATAATCCGTTCAAATCAGTCGTATGTGTTTCCCATACATCTGAGCGATGAAATTGTGCCTGCAGCTGTTTTTTACGCCTCAGTGACCCCGATAATTGCGTGGTATATTGTGAAAAAGACAATCATGGATCCCATGGAAGCGGATCGCAAGAGCATCGAAGTTGAGCGGACAAAGCGTCAGAATGAGCAGCGCTTAACGGCAAAGAAATTTGAGGCAATGGCAGCCATACACCTGATGCAGAACACCTACAACCGCATCCTGAACGAGGAGCAGGATCGACGGGGTCTAGTTGTAAAGAGAGCAATCTATGGTTGCCTAAATGAGGGCAGCACGCAATTTAAGCCAGAAGCATCGCACGATGTCACAATACCCATTCAATGTCTAGTCAGGGACAGTACGTTGCAGCTGTACGAGTCATCAAAGGTAAAAAATACACTAACATCTTCCATAAAACTATGTAAGAATTGATTACTAAATTATTTGCAGAGCGATTTACCTGGTTTCTATGATCCGAGTCTGGGTGACGACAAGATTTTACGCATAGAATATACACACAATGATGTATTAAAAACTGTCAATATAAAGGATAAAGAGCCATTGCGACTGCCAGCATAGAACGAACGCAAAATGCATCTTGTATAAATCTTCAGTTGTGTGTTTGAGAATTGTTTTTATAATTCCTCGTAGCCGTACAAAAACATAAATACAAAAAATGCCTAAAATAGTCAAATTCCGCAGTGCTTCTATTTCATATTATTCATATTAATGAATGAACAAACAAGTACAATATTTATTCATAATCATAATCATAATAATGTAAATTTAGTCAATAAAGCAAAAGACGAAACGAAAATATTTTCTGATTGCTTCTCAATTTCAAAATGTGCCGCCAAATCGAGCCAGATAGCACGAGTCACCCTGTTGTTTTGTCGCCACTCAAATCAGCTGTTTTCCAAGGCATTTGCGGATGTGAAATCGAACAACAATATTTGTAATCTTAAGTTGAAAAACGATGCAGCAGTAATCATTAGAATGCTATTACAAATCGTAATAAGCAAACAGCTCAAATAAGGTACGATGCAATCCATGGACCATGACCATATTTACAAAAGCGAATCTTATACGCTTCGCGGTCGGGACAATTTGTTTTCTGCTGCTGCTCAACTTCCTCTGGACGACGGATTCAGACGGATCCAGCAGCAGCTCGCTGAGCAAACTGAGGTAAGTGTAATCCGAAATAAAGCACATAAGGCGTTAATCGAACAAATGTGTGTCTGCAGCATACGGCGAGTGCACAAATATGCACACATCCACAACAGAAACGACAGCGACCGAAGTGCCATTGGGAGCGATATCCCCGCTGGGGGTCATAAATTGCCAGCAGCTCCATTGGCGCTATCGAAAGAACGAGAGAGAGAGCTGCACATTGTTGGGCGCAACTCGAACTCAAACTCAACCTCGACTGTGATTGCGATTGCAAACTTTACTTCCATTCCACAAGACTTATTGCACGCGCACCCGCAAGATTTTGCAAACGGCACACAAACGCCACAAGTGACACAAATCACACAAAACTGCACTGATCCCGATCCCCGAGATGGTATGAATGAACTGACATTACCTGTCATTTTATATTATAATATTATATTGGAATAGGTGGACCCATCACGCCAAACACAACGCTCGAATCTCTTGATGTTATTGAGGCTGAGCTGGGACCGCTGTTGCGTCCTGGTGGCGCTTATCAGCCAATTGATTGTATTGCTCAATATCATGTTGCCATTGTTGTGCCCTTTCGCGACCGTTATGCCCATCTTTCGGTTTTCCTGCGCAACATCCATCCGTTCCTAATGAAACAGCGGATCGCCTATCGCATATTTATTATAGAGCAAACCAATGGCAAGCCGTTCAATCGGGCTGCCATGATGAATATTGGTTACTTGGAGGCCTTAAAGCTATACCAGTGGGACTGTTTTATATTCCACGATGTCGATCTTTTACCCTTGGACGAACGCAATCTGTACAACTGTCCACGTCAACCACGGCACATGTCCGTTGCAATTGACACGCTGAACTTCAAGTGAGTGTTGATTCGACCTACGATTGACCTTAATTTATTTCACTGTGCTTTGCTTTGATTGTGCTCAGGTTGCCTTATCGCTCAATATTTGGCGGAGTATCTGCCATGACACGACAACAATTTCAAGCTGTGAATGGATTTTCAAACTCATTCTTCGGCTGGGGTGGCGAGGACGACGATATGTCCAACAGGTAAACAACACGGATTACCGGGTAATCAATAACTATATGTTTATTTACCTTTCAGATTGAAGCATGCCAACTTATTCATATCACGTTATCCGATAAATATCTCTCGCTATAAAATGTTGAAGCATCAGAAAGAGAAGGCAAATCCAAAACGGTGCATATTATTCCAATCAATCAATTCATTTACGTCTTTCAAATATTAACGTGATTCTTTAAATTCGCAGCTACGAGAACCTGCAGAACGGCATCGGTAAAATTGAAATGGATGGCATCAACTCGATTAAATATGAAATCTATAGCATCAAAGATTTCCCAACATTCACTTGGTATTTGGCCGAGCTAAAGAATTCTGAGCGAAAGAGTTAACCAACCACAGCAACAGCATGAGCAACAGCATTCGCATCATCCATTTATTATCGAATCTCCTTAAAGACAAAGTTGCGAATGCGATTCTCAATTTCGTGCAATAATTACTTATGTGTATGTACAAATGACAACATTACTTTCTTCAAAGTAGCCTAATTATTATCTCGAATAATAGACACACAATTATTGTGTATGTAGCATGTCCAGTCAATATAGAAATACATATGTACTTTAGTCTTACTCCTAGCTCCATTTAAAATATATTCTATGTATTCCAACGAGTACATAGATTTTGTTGATTTTAGTATGTCTTCCTCATCATTTTATTAAAAATCTCTCAATAACAAATTACAAAAAAAAAATGAAAAAGACAAAAAAATTCTACACCAATTCCTACAAGGTGAAATGTAGATATTACTTTTGTGATATACAAATTGTTATTCGATTAAAATGATAATTAAATGAAAATGAAAAATATGTACTTTGATCTTCGGCACGCCGAATCTACAACATATCCCTGCAGAATACTCATTGAGTGATAGTCCGATATTAATATATAAATTCTATATATGTATCTTTAAGTCGAAAATATCATAAAAGGCAGCTTTTTTGACTGATAATTCCAAATGACACCTCTATTTAGAAATCCGATCCAACTTCGACGGGTACAACTTGTGTGCCAATATGAGGCTTTAAGATTCTATCAGATTCTGCAGGGATGTTCATCTATCTACCATACTTTAATATACAATACCAAATGTATAACTTATAAAAAACAAAATACATTTTACTATACCAGAATAAAACTTTTACTATATATACCAAAAGCAGTAAGTTGTTTTTGCTTTGCATCTATTATTCATGATTCGAACTCAGTCTTTAAAAGAAACATAAATTATCCCATAAATCCAACTAAATAATGTAACATATCAATTCGTTGGTTAGATTTCGTTTTTTTTATTAAGGTTACTTTGATTTTTATGCGTACGTATATTAAAAAATATTTATGGCTTTGTAACGACTATGTTACCATTTTAAGTCTGGGTTACATTTACTTTTTGGGCAGCCAAATGGCCGCTGATTAGTAGACAATATTCGAGGAAGAGGAGGGCGGGGCGGCGGCGGGGCGGGCGGGAGTGGGGAAAACACACAAGTATATAATTATGGCGAGTGGGGAATTAGATTCCGTGGCTCATTTATTAGTTTGGTATGCAAAATACAGTTAAAACAATTGGCTTTGAAAATAAAACTTAAACATATGCAGAACTTTGGAGAACTGCGCGGCTTTTTCACTGGTCACGTTGTATTATAAATGCTTTGTTGTATCAGTTTCTTTTTTTTTTTCTTTTTGTTTTTGGAGCGTGAGCAAATAATTTGGAGCAAAACTTGTTTGGGGTAAACCAAAACGAAATCCAACAAAATCCAGGCAATGCCTTGGTGTGAAATATATATACATATATACGCGAGATAATATAATAGTTAAATCAATTTGGTCAACAAATTACAACAATTAGAGCATCCATATAAGAAGCGAACCGAAAAATTGGTTAGGTTAACAGAAATTATATGAATATCAATCAACGACAAGCTGTACGATAGGGGCAGGAATTAGCGTTAGACCTAACGGCAATATTAGAATCCTATATACAAGTGTAGTCGATGCGATCCGATCCGATGCGATGCGATGCGATGCAAACTCCATTCAATTACATTATAGAGCAGGGCATGGCACAGCAGAGGGGCAAACAAAGGGGCACCACAGCCGCACCAGACTTGCTTTTCGTCTTTGATTTCGAACCGGACTCGTACTCGTACATGCCCGATCCCTTGGCCCAGCGACCCTACATATTGTAAACAAGAAGTATTTTCACTATCTATATAGGTGATACATGGTATTTAGAAACTTACGCCTCCCGCGGAACCAGCATGCATCTCCTCGCGCCTATTGATAATGGTTTCGTGGCCAGGCGGATAGTATACCTCCTTGCCAGCCTTGTTAACGGAGGGCACATGCTGCTGCTGTGGCGATGCGACTGCTGTCTCAATCTCACGCTTGCGCACTGGTGTCTCAATATCCACACGATCCACGTGATCCGTCTAAGGGCAGAAGCGGTAGAAGCAGCTGATTAGTAAATAGTCGAAGTCGACTTTGGATGGTTTGTACTTACAGTGCCGAAGGACTGCATTAGATCGTCCACACGCTGTGGCGGATTGCCATTGCCAACGGGATATTCGACACCGTCGACGGGGAAGGGTAACGGTGATCCATAGTCGGGACCAGGTCCACGACGATTGTTTGTATTCGTTGTGGATGAGTATTTATACGAATAGGTTGTGTTATTCGGCGGATAACCATTGCCATTCTGGGGCTGTGGATAATTTGTGATCGGCAGCTGCTTGATTGGCGCCATATCCACAGGAGGATAGGGACCACCGCCGTTGGGCGGACCATGTATGGTGTTGACCGTGTTCGAAGTTTCGGTCTCCTTGAAATAATAGCGATTGGTGCCACCGCCCGGAGGCAGATGCGGCTGTAACTGTGCGGGACTATGTGGCGATCCATAGTTGGGACTATGGGCCGGACTATGCGGATAACGCTGCTCGTTGATCGTATTGTCTGTCTTGTGTATGTTGTAGATGACAGTACGGTTGGTGTTGGGCGGCCCAGCATTGGGACTGGTAGCGGGTCCCAGCGGCAACTGACGTGGCTGTGGACTCAATCCGCGTGTGGTTGTCTCCTTATGCTCACGAATCTCGTACGATTTATTGCTGACCAGCGGGCGATCATGGGGCTTGTTCAGCGTGGAGTAGCTCTCCGTGTTGTAGACAACCGTTTGGGGCACATGCGATGGCGACAATTGTGTCGTGTAGTTCTGATTCGAGTTGATTGTCTCGTGGTGTTTGTAGCTGCTGTTCAGCGTGTTGTTGTTGATGCTGCTGCGATTGATGGTGCTGGTGGCGCTGCCGGGACCAGTCGATGGTATCTCATAGGTGTAGGTGCGCACAGTTGTGGTCACCTTGGTGCCCGGTGAAGGCAATATTCCATCGCCCAAAGCAATATCCTGCAACTCCCTGTCAATATTGACCGTCTCTGTGGTATTCACGCTGGGCACCACTTCCACATTGTTGTTGATCGTACGATTGCTCTCGTAGATTTTAGACTTACTCGAATACTGACCACCGCCGCCCGGCGAGTGAGCTGTCAAAGGAGAAAAGGAGTTGTTATGACTTGTTGGCATAGACAAATCTGTATCAAAAGACTTACCCAGCGTGTAGGGTTTATCCTTGACCAGGTACTCGTCATGCTTTAAGCTGTCCTGAAAGTTGGAGTACTTGGCCGAAGATTGCAGTGTGCTATAGTCCCTGGGACTAAAGGTCTCCACATCGTCGATAAGGGGCTGCTGTCCACCTGAATGCTGTGTCGTCTTGATTACGCGCGTTGTCTTCGTGACACTTCCGGACGGATCAGTACGTTCCCTATGGATGAGAATAGCAAATGTTAACTAAAATTAAAATTAAATGTATAAAACTGAATACGCATCTCAAACCACAAACCTATTTTCAAGTTTCAATTCAGTATTAATCTATTAATCTAATTATGACTAAAACTATATTGTTTCTAAAAAAAACAGTTTATGGGTGTTTAAATTTATACTTAATTTAGTTATGATGCATCGTTTAACGACTTACAGTGTTCTATAGCTAGAGCCAGTTGGCAATGTTTCGCGTTCTCTGTTGGTAATCTGACGCTCATGCTTTAGATCCTCGAGCAACGCGTCCAACTGATCGATGTTCTGATCGCCGCCCGGAGGCTTGCCCTGATAGGATACATTATTATCGCCCGAGCTTGAATATTGATACGATGATTTCTTGTACGCATAATTCTTGTCGTTCTGTGTGTGTAAAATATATATGCGTGGTAAGAGCATAACTGCAAATATTTGATATATATATATATACTTACACGTCCGTTCCATTTCGAGGGTGTATCTCTCAAAGAGGATGAGTAATTTTCCGAGCTGCTCGAGTACTGCATTTTGTTCAATTATTGTTTTCTGCTGCAAAATGACATCAAGCGAGATCATTCAGAAATATCGTTAAATGCTTATGTATGAGTAAGTTCTCCTTAGTCATATATGTTCATATGTAAATAAATTCTTTTGGATGTGGGTGTAAAAGTCAACGTAAACGGCTTCGTACTGACAGGTTGATTCGCAGTTCATAAGAATTCCAAACATTTGATTGTATATACAAATATACAACTCAACACCCACGAAATGTGTTCAATATGTTCAAAAATGGTGCCTCGTTTCTAGAACAGCTTTTAAGGTGATATTTTTGCCGCGATAATGGAGCTTAAGTCATTTAGAATGATCATCACTTGAACAGATTAAGTGCCAACCAGCGACATAAAATGAGAAAGAAAAAATTGGACAAAGTGGAAAATACTAAGAAGACTAAGAGATACCCAATAGAATTATAATAGTAATTTCAATAATTACTAAATTGATTAAAAATGGTAAAACACACTTTTCTTGAGAAAAAACCTAATAACATATTAGATAATATACATTTGCAAACTTAAAGTTGAGATCCCAGTAGAAGTATACAAATAATAGTAATTACAATATAAAACAATAATTAGTAGGCTGATTATATAAAAATTGTTGAAGAATGAGGTAATTTCTTAATATATCAATTGGTGAAACATACACTTTTTTTGTGAAAAAACTAATAATAGAGAATATACTTTTCAAAACATGTCTTCGGAAAATACTAATAACACTTTAGAGAAAATACTTTTCAAACCTTTAATTTCGAAAAAATAAAATCTTTTTTGGCAATCTTACTTTCAGCAAAAAGGTGCCAAAAATACTAAGAAAACAAAGTTTGTATCCAATTTTGGATACGAAACAACAAAACAAAAAGACAGATAATGGCATTGGTTTTCAGAACTGACACAGTACACACAGAGTCACACACACACACACACACATAAGATATGCATATAAGCTCCTGCAAAATTCAATGTCAAACTGGTTTTCACTTTTTAGCGTGTCCTTAGCACGTTTTTCGTCGGATGCAACACAATCAGACACAAACCTGTATAGTATACGTAGCCAAAATATGTCTGGCTGTCGAGCTGATGATGAGATTTTTTTTTATTTTTGTGATTTAGCGATAACCTTGAGGGAGATTTCAATGAATGAGACAGAGAGAAACTAACAAATGCATAAGATTCATACAGAAAACACAAGGATGATTGGTATGATGTCATCAGAGTCATAAACAAACATTCAAGTGGAATTTAATGTCGACAAATAACAGTCGACACAGAGAAAAAAAAAACAAATAATTAAAATAAAAATAAATAAATACAAATAAAGTTTAGTATTCATGCTTTTCATAATAATAAAAAAAAATTGTTTTCAAAATTATATATAATTTCTGGGCGCATTTAATTGCAAAATTGGTTCAACATTTGCCGTTGGGTAAAACCCAACAATACCAAAAATATATACATTTTTGTATATGAATTATTTGAACTGCCCAGCCACAAAAATGCATGTGCCCATTATAATAATAAATCTCAATGCCTACGACGACAAATCAAATCAAACGAAATCAAATTAGAAGCAGTTTCCTTGGGCTGAAAATGTGCCACATGATCCCACACCATATGGTCAAGAGTTTAGCTAATTAAGAAGCTCACGTAAGCAAAAAAAAGCAAGAAAAAAAGGAAAAACTTGTAGTAAATACATCATAATATTAATAAAAGACTAAATCTAATTGACGCCTGATCGCAGACAGCACGTTTTTTTTCAGTGGCGCTTTGAGGCACAAGTTTTTTATTTAAAATCTGTTTTTTTTTTTTTTTTTTTGGTTTCTTACTCAAAGCAATAACAAACAGGTCGCACAGAGAGAGAGAGAGAGAGAGCGATAGAGACAGAGACAGAGAGAGAGAGAGATGCGTGTGTTTGTTTTTGCATGTGTTTGATTGTACAAATTCAAAATGATCTCATATAATCGGAACGAGAGACAAAAAATAAAAGTGGGTACATGTCACTGCTAGTGGAGTGGGCGTGCCAATAGAGGTGCAGGGGCGGGTGGAACGTTCGCAAAACGCCAGCAGCCAAGATCTACATACGAGCGTGTATACATACAATACGTAAGCGAACACATAAAATAAACAAAATAGCAAACGAACAACAAGTTTGAAACAGACGAAAAGTCCCAAAGCGAAGGTGTTGTTGTTTTGTTGTTCAAATTTCCGAAAATCAAATTGAAAACGTAGGCGAAAAAAGGCGTAGAACACACACACACACATACATACATACCTAAGTTCTAGCGACTAAGTGTGTATGTGTGTTGGGTTGCCAATTTGCGTGTGGCGACGCTGTTGGTGATGTTATTATTGCCTCCTCTGCCACCTACGCAGCAGCAGCGTCAATCAGCAGTTCAATCGAGTCAAGCACAAAAAAAACGTATTTGTGCATATTTAGTATAAACAAGCAAAAGCAGCCGTTTGAGCTCGGCTAATTCAAATTAAGAAAAATCTACAAATTTTGCTCTTGATTTCTTCATCAGCTTTTTTTTTTAAATTTATTTTTTGTCTTGGTCAAATTTACGATTGAGAAAATGAATGCGTTGTTTGCGGCGCCTTCATTGCCCACTCTTTCGCCTTTAACTGTACAATTTTATTGTGTTGCTCGTGCATGTACATACTATATATATATATATATATATATATGTGTGTGTGTGTATGAAAACAAATAATTCTATAAATAGTTCACTGCCACTGTTCTTTTTGGCTTTCATTTCGAATACTGTTTTTGTTGCTCTTGATTTGAAAAAAAAATATTGAATCGAGTGCGCTCCGCTAATGAATCATCCGCAATAGCAATATATAAATAGGGAGGATACGGATGCAATTCCAATTGGTATTCTTCCTCTGTATTGAACACCTATTTGAATTTCTCTTTGCTGCGCACACACATGCACACACACACACACGCAATTACAATAGATACAGCTACGAAGCTCAAAAGCGAATAAGTATGGAAAAAGTAAAACTCGTTTCTAATGTGCGTTTTGTGTCGCCGTCATCATTTTGTTTTTTTTCTTCCTTTTTAAGCTTGTTCGCCAGTTCAAAGAGATAGCTAGCTGTAGATTCCATAGATACACACACACTCACCCACACACACTCATACGCAATACATTCATGCATTCATAGTATCATTCATTAGCAGCACTCACTGTGCACTTTTCCAAAACCAAAAAATGATTGGTGCAGACTTTTGTCTCGTTGTTGTTGTTGCTGTTGTAGTTTTTATTTTGTAGTTATTGCTTTTGCTGGCTCGCGGCGGGTATTCAGTGTTCAGCCAAAATGAAAATTTGCTCGATGCGCGGGCGCGTTAGTCTTAGAAAATTCGTTTGTATAGGTGTGTATTATTTTTTCTTTTTAAATTGTGTTAGTGTGTATTCGTGAATGTCTACTACAGAAACGTAACGGTTAACGAAACAGCTTTGCGTCCAATACGCGTACTCGCGTCGCTGGTTTGTGCAGTACTGGGGCTTCAAATTTGCACTTGCTACGAGGAGAGCGCGTTCGAAACAGATCGGACCCCCAGTTGACTTATATACACAGTGTAACAGGTTACGTGTCTCTCTCTCTCCCTCGTTCTCTCACTCTCTGAGCATCACGTCAGAGCTTCGAGCTTTTACATACCATTTGAAAATTAATAGTTGCTTACAATTTTGCATTTTATTTATTTTTTTATTATATATTTTATTTGCTTATGGGTATTCGTAATTTTATTATAAAAATAAATTTATTTACGAGACAGTTAACAATGCTTTGTAAAATTGCTTAGCTTTCAACTTTAAAGTTTAAGCTTTAAGGAGAACTCAACTTATTTGGGAAATATAATTTAGTGAATTATATTTGAATTTGTAATTAAACTTACTTATCCAGAACTGCTTACAAATGAAAGAGCTCTACTTCTATTTATATTATCTAGTCACGCTCATTAAATAAGAGCAATTAATACTGACCGAAGTTCGCAGGCAAACAATTTAAAATTGTGACGTCATGCTCCCGCCGTGTCAGTGTCAAATAGTTAACCTCAACTCAACTCAATCGTTCGTTGAGCATCCATTGACGACGATCTGTGCTCAACTCTCCCAACACGCAAAGCTCTTTTATTCTTTTTTTGCGTTGAAAGCTTTTTTTTTTTTGGGCGGCTAAATTGTTTATAGAACGCGTCTGTTGTTTTGTATTTAATCGAGACAAAAGTCAAGTGTTCTTTTATTTATTCGTGTTATTCTTAGCGGTGTCCAGGGGTGTTTTGTTGTTGTTGTTTTTATATAAAAGATTAGAAAATTTTAGTGAATTCAAATCAAGCATCAAGTGAGAAAGTTCACTCAATGAATCGCTTTACAAACTGAGAGCATGAAATGCAGTTCAAAAATGATTACTGTATTTAAGGAAAAAAGAAAGAAAATCAGCAGCTAATCCTTGGCGGGGACCTCGATGACGCGCGGTTTGTCAATGATGCGGGCAGTCTTATTGCCCTTCTCCACAATGCCAATAATCCAGGCCTGATAGCCCTCCTGCTTCTCAATGTCTTTGCAGTAGGCAGCCGCCTGTTCCCTGGGCAGGCAGATGAGCAATCCTCCGGAAGTCTCCGCCGAATGACCCTGCAGCAGCTGGAACATATTACCACAGGCCTTTGCCACCGCGGCCATTTTCGCAATCACTGGCAAATTGTGAATGACAAAGGAGACATCCTTCTTCTGGTGAGCGGCCAGGGTTTGGGCATGTCCCAGCAGACCAAAGCCGGTTATATCGGTGGCCCCATGTGCATTGTACTTGTGCATGAGCCGGGCGGCGATTCGATTGAGACGTGACATGGAGTTCATGGCTCGATGATAGGCCTTGCGCACATCCTCCTCGGAGACGACCAGCTTGATGCGATTCCAGCGTTCAGGCTGATCGATCCACTGATGTGCATTCACTGCCACCTGTGTGCCCAGTGGTTTTGTCAGCACCAAAACATCCCCAACAACCGCATTATCGGGCACAATGTACTCATTTGGCTGACAAATGGTGGAGGCAACGCCGCCAATGGTGCACCAAGGATTGACGACGCTCTGTCCGCCGGTCACCGTGGTGCCCGCCTCCAGCGCGGAGTCCTTGAAGCCGCGCATTATCAGCGGAATGACAACGTCACGCTCCTTCTCCGTCATCTTGGTGCTGACAGCGAGCAGCATCAGCATATTATCGCAATCGGTTACGCCCATGGCGTACAGATCGCTCAGCACATTGGCGCAGGCAATTTTGCCCATCATATAAGGATCGTCGACAATCGGATAGAAGAAGTCCGTCGTCTGAACGAGACACAGTCCGCCGTGGCGAAGCGGAATTACGGCACAATCGAGTCCAATGCCAATGCGTGGAATGGCAACGTTGAGGAACTGCGGCTCCTGATCCTGAGCAGAGTAGTCCTGCTGCAGAGCCGACACAAGCTTTGAAAGCACCTCCTGCGGTACCTTGCAGCCGCGGCCCTTCAGATCGGCGAAACGTGTCAGGCGGAAAGATGCATCCAAATCGTGGGCCGTTGGGTCAAAGGGGCGACGCAGCTCGGCGTCGCCGCCGCCATGTAGCTCCAGATGGGCAGCATTTAGTACGTCTGCGGCGTAGCTCATTTTATGCGGCTAAAGACCTGGTTGATTCACAACGAAATGTTTGTAATTAGTCGAATTAGAATTACGCACTTTTTTTTTGCCGCCAATAAAACGGGTGGCAAGCAAATAACTCGCGTTCTCCCTGGGCACATATACACATGTAAACAGACGTGTATGTACACGAATTTTCAGTTCGATTGTGTGTATGTGTGAGTAGCGAGTGATGCGATTGGCTATTTGCTCGATGGCGGCTGAATCGGGCGAAGTCAGTATTTCTCCCTGTCGTCGAAGAACAAAACGTGAACAATGTCCACTTTCTTCGAATTACAAAAGCCTAATTTTTACTCACTTTTTAAATAATATAAATATCATTATGGCTTATTAGAGATGGGTACTTACGTTTTCGGTTTCAAATATGCACAAAATGCTTAATAACCGGCCAGAAATTTTTTATTTAGCGCTTTGATTTTGCTTTTGCACCGCTGTCGCCGACTGAGTAGAGTTGCATATTTGGTATATCGATAGACTCTCGCTAACATCATGAAATGTACAGCGCTGCCAACTTGCTTAAAATAAGGTGGCGCCTTATAAAGTGATTTATTTATCGTGAAAATTAATTAAATATATCCTTTACGGAGTCTTTTACATTTGATTTAAATTTTAGAAATTATTTTTGCAAAATGTTCAGTTGCCCGAATTGGCAACAGGTCTCTGTCGAAAACAAATCAAAATCGCAGCTGAAGCTGATGGCCAGTTGCGAAGCAGAAACAAAGAGAAGCGGAACCTGTTGCGCAAGCGCAACTTGAAAAGTAAAAGTGAGAAAAGACAAATCTTAATGACCAATAATATTAGCTCGTGCCTATAACAATAATATTTTTTATTCTTTTCTCTTTTTGAGAACGTAATCCGCTATTGTGACAGGTGACCAGTTGTAGAAATTTGAACTATTTGCTTTGCATAACAATAGACTGAAGAAACGAACTTGGCTTTAACCATGGCCAGCTGGAATCGATGACGACACAACTACACACAACCAAATAATATACTTATAAACAAATTAACAAGTTTTAAAGCGGAATCATGATTCAGCTAAGACTGCCCGCAATTTTGCTTTTATTGCTGCCGTTGTTCGCTTTGGTCAGCGCCGAATACGTTTATGGCGAACCAGAATTCAAATGTCCCAAGAAGTGAGTTGCTTAAATATATTTTAATTAATTAAACTTAATTGCTTTATTTGTCCATACAGAGCACAAATCTTATATCCCTGCTTGTGTGTTAATGGCAGCGATAATGGACTTTTTGTGCGCTGCGAAAACACAAATTTGGCAACACTTTCGGTGGCCCTGAAGAATTTGGCCTCCCTCGAAATGCCCGTGGAGGAGCTGACCATCTACAAGGGACACTTTGGTTCGTTTGTTTTGCTTACCATTTCTATTTATTTATTATTTTCTAACGTATGAAAAAAAAACTAACCATTAGTTTTTGTAATTTTTTCACATATGTATATTTCTTAGTATTTTTCCTATAAATTAAAGTTGATACTACTCCTTAAATTATTTTGAATATGTATTAATATTTATATATAAATTTGATGGACAAATGACAAAAGTAGCCAAGAAAAATAATATTAACACTTACGCACTTAATAGAAATCGTTTATTTATTTATAATTTGCATAATTATAAAAATGGTGTTAATATTATTTCGTTCATTTTCATTCTACAAATATAAATATGTCTTTGAAAACATTTCTTGTGAAAGTTGACTGATAATTATTTTTGTGAATTTTAGTACGGCTTTTTGGACCGCTTTTCGCCCATATCAAGGCGCGTGTGCTGACGATTGAGGAGACTCCGATTGCCACCATAGAAGATTACGTGTTTTATGGCGTCAACAATACATTGGAACAGCTTAATTTGCTGCGCACGAATCTAAGTCAAGTTGGCCAACTGGCTTTCGGTGTAAGTGTCTCTTGTCTATAATAAGAGTAAGTGTTATAATTATTATATAAATTCCATGTTCCATAGATTTTGGGCAAAGCCCGGCAATTGGTGATTGATGGTCATGCGTTTGAACAACTGCCCAAAGATCTGTTTGTTGGTCAAGAGATTAGCAACAGGCTGGAAATCATGCGTCTCTCAAATGGACTTTTGAGTGACTTGCCGGTGGAGACATTTCAGCCGCTGCGAAAGTTAAAAACTCTGGATTTGCATGGCAATCAACTGGAGAATCTCAAGCGGAATCAATTCAAGAATCTGCGCGAACTGGAGTCCCTTGATATAAGTCACAACAGTATCAAGAAATTGGAGGCACAACACATTTCAGATCTGACCAAGTTGGGCTGGTGCAATGTATCGCACAATGCCCTAAATGAGCTGAGTCGTGGCACCTTTGCCAGGAACTCGGTGCTCAAGGTGCTCAATCTGTCCCACAATAACATTGCCAAACTGGATGCGAATAGTTTTCGTGGTATGCGTTTTTTGCGCCGCCTCTTTCTGAGCGACAATGTAATCAGCGATATTGGTCGTGGCACCTTTGGCTCGGTGGCTCGCATTGGAACCATTGACTTGGCGAGGAACAAACTGAAGAAGATCGAATATCAAATGTTTACCCAAATGAACTATGTGGAGGTAAGTGAAAGTATATTTTAAATTATATTATTTGTGTAGTAATTCTTGCTCTTTGGCAGCTATTGGATTTGGCGGAGAACAATATCACGAAGATTGAGAAGAACTCGTTTAAGGATATTTACCAATCGGTAATTAATGTCTCTCACAACGCCCTGGAGTTAATAGAAACGGCGGCCTTTGAGAACTGTGTGAATATAACGACGCTCGATTTGTCCCACAATCGACTGGTGAACTTTTCACGTCGCAGCTTCGACGAGACAACATTTGCCTCCACTTTCCAGCTAAGCTACAATTTGCTGACAAATCTGGCGCATGTAATTAAGATAAAATCCTTGAAATTTATATGAAAAACTAACAGCTTGTGCTTTCCAGATTCCCATACAGAATATGTCTGGGCTGCGGGTGTTGAATGCCTCGCACAACAACATCACTGAAATACCCAAGAATTGTTTTCCAAAACTTTACGAACTGCACACGATCGATGTGTCGTTTAACAACATTTCCTTCATATTCAACGGGGTATTTCAGACACTCTTTTCGCTGCGCAACATTGATTTGAGTCACAACAGCATGCAGGAGATCAAATCGTCGACATTTGGCACATTACCAACGCTGCTGGAGATGGATCTTAGCTATAATCAGCTTGTTAACATTGTGCGTGGATCGCTGGCCAAACTGACGAGCATGCGGCAATTGTATCTAAATAACAATCGCATCGAGAAACTGTTTCAACTGCCCATTTCGTTGAATGAGCTCTATTTGAGCCACAACAATATATCATCCATACCAGCCGGCACTTGGCCCGTTATGAACTCACTTATATATTTGGACTTGGCCTATAATCAAATTGGCGACAGCTTGGATTCACAGAGCTTTACGGGTCTGTTGGTCGTACAGCGACTAATGCTGCAGGGCAACTCCATCAGCCGGCCACCATTCGAGGCGATCGCTGTGATGTCAACGCTGCAATATCTGCACTTGGAGGTAAGTTGAAATGTCTAAATGCATTTCTTGTTCTATTTTTTAAAATTCATATGAAAAAAAACCAATTAGATGATCAGTTAGGGAGTGAAGGTTAATACTCGTATAATTTAAATCATTTCCATTCGCAGCACAACAACATTAGCACATTGGAGCGCAGTGCATTTGGCAAGCTGCCCGTTCTCTTTGAACTCAATCTGTACGATAATCAAGTCGCCGAGATTAGGTAAGTGAGCTCCAGTCCAATATATACAAATTATAAACCCTTATTTTGGTTTGCAGTAAGCGGGCATTTGAGGGACTATTGCAGCTGCTAACACTGAATCTGTCGAGGAATGCCATACATCAGTTGCAAAACGATATATTTATTGGATTGCCTTCGTTGCGCAGCTTGGATTTGTCGCACAATACGCTATCCAAGCTGGACAATAAAACAAATGGCGTATTAGATGATTTGCTCAGTTTGGAGACACTCAATTTGAGTCATAATCGAATTAGTTTTGTCACCAAGAAAACATTTCCATCCCATCAGTATATACCATATAATCTAAAGTATCTGGATTTGAGTTACAATCAGATGCCAGTCTTGACCTACGATATAACGTTCGGCACCAAAAAGCTGCGGAAATTGAACGTCTCCCACAATCAAATCAACGAATTGCGTCGCGGAGTCTTATCGAATTTTACATCGCTCCAATCGCTGGACATATCGCACAATGAGCTGACGAATCTGTTGTCGGAGGAGCATATTTTCGATCTGCCCAAGAATCTGAGCCGCTTGGATGTATCGCATAATCAAATCTTTCATTTGCCCTTCGCCAATCTGGTGAAGACGCAATCGTTGAAATACGTAGATCTGCGCAACAATAGTCTGGAGGATATAGCCGCCTCGCTGGTGGCCACCATGCGCAATCGGAGTCAAGTGCTGCTCTCCAACAATCCACTGTATTGTGGCTGCAATGTGCGCCCCCTGAAACACTATATGCTGGAGCAGATAAATCCTAGCGAGGATTTGCGCAACGTCATCTGTCAGACACCGGCTCAGGCAACGGGGCAGTATCTGTTGCATGTGGATGATGAGTATCTCAATTGCAGGGAGGATGAAATGGAGCTTTATGCCGGCAGCGACTTCGAGCAGCTGACCGATGTTCGCTTTCGCGAGGTTCAAACGTAGGTCGAATTAACTAATTATCTAGTTAGATATAATTATTAATTTTTGTTTTCTGTTCGATGGCAGCAATAAGGCTGGCAATCTGACAATGCGTTGGTTTGTCTCCGCCCTGTCGGATGTGGCTGACTTCAATGTTTACATACGCAGCAGCGGCAACGAGTTGTTGCATCAGGCTGACTATGCCTACAATCAACGCACGGCTCAAATACCAGTCTCCCAGCTGCTGGTGCTTGGCGAACTGAAGCTGCGAGGCGCCGAGATCTGTATCGTTGCACGCGATAGCGATGGGAATACACGTCGCTGGTTTGCCGGCCAGTGTCAGGCGTTGCCGTCCCTCAAGGCGCCGAGGACCTACTTCTTTGGCAACTTTAATGTGAGAAGCGCAGCCAGCGCAACAAAATCCCAAATCGCACACATAGCTTTAATACTGTTTGTTGCCATTATGTATTAAATGTATGCGGTGCGGTACGTTTACTGCCCGTACTCAGTGTAAGGACACGCTCTGCTCTGACCTTACAGCCCCAGCGCTTAACATGCGCACATGTATTTGTTTACTTGCCGTTGTTGCCGCCATAACCACCACGTTTTATATAGGCATGGGAAGGGAGATGGGGGGGTGAAGGTGTTGGTATGGTGGCTCGTTGAGCACAATTGAGAAAATGTTACAGCCCACCAACCAGCTGATTCTTTCGAACTTTCATTCACAGCGCAAAGCACAAAGGCAGAGCGGGCAGTCAAGTCAAGCGCCGCTAAATTTCATTCGTGCTCTCCTCGTGCTGTGCTCGGCAAAATAGTTCGGCTTTTGCACGAGCAAACGTCACACAATGACGATAATGACGGCGCCAGCGACGACAACGACGACGACGGCGACGGCGATGACAGTTGCTAGGAGCGCGCAAGGACTTTTGAGTAAAAGCAAAGCTTGCCAAACAAATGCGCACTCGCACTCTCATTCTTGCGTTCGTTCTCTGCCTCAGCTTAAATGACGCTTATAAGTGTGTCCACACTCGTGGCAAACAATGAGTTATGGCTCAACTTTTGCTCAGTTATGCAACATACTCGAAGAAATCACTGAAGCGTGCACAGCATGGCGTATGTGCAATATTTTATTTAGTATTTATGAATATTATTAGCAGTTAATAATCGATGCATGTTTATTTTCTTCCCTTTATGGGATTTGTTTATTTATTTATTTAATGTCATCTAAATTCAGTCGACATACCTCAAGAAATGACTACGGTTTGTACATCGTGACGTATGTGCTATTTTTAATTATTCATGAATATTATTTGAATGCTTATTTTCTTTCATATATTTTTTGCATGTTTTTATTTATTTATGAAAGTCAGTTGACAAAAAAAAAATATATATATATATATAATATATATTAAACTAAATTAATAATTAAATAAAAAAAAGTATTCAAGTATTTAAAGTATTTCTTGTAGAAATCGTAATATATTTGAGTAAAAATCCATCGCATTGAGGTATACACTTTAGTGTGGCCCACCACTGTTGAGGACACTGAGGACATGTGCACTTTCGCTGCTCAACTGCGCTCTCGTGTTTCGTTGTGTGTGTGGCGTGGTGTGTTGTGCTTTTCTGGTGTTGTGTGACTTTGCCGTTTGCTTTTGCATTTGCGCTGGCACTTTGCTAGTGTGTCCTTATCGATTTTCAGCGAAATTTTAGCAGGCTCACGGCGCACGGCGCACGTCAGTGGCCAGCGAGGATTCACTTGTCGCGCTGAGTTCGTTCGTGTCGTGTTCGCACAGCACAGCTGCGAGTAACAGTTCAGCCAACAGAGCACCGTTATGTAAAGTGATTCCAATCGAAACATACATACATACATGCCTACAAACATACATACAAACTAAGTGAAACGCTGCTGTGAGCTAATTAAATAGAGGCGCCACGCAGACAAACAAAAAAAAAACACAAAACAAAAAAATAATTTATTGTTATAAATAAGCAATTAATAAAAGCAGCATTGTGATAACATCGCGACAAAAAAATACTGATGAAAATATATCGTAATATTCAAAATACTTGCATACATAAGTGTCGAGGAAAAACGAGGAAACACGCTACCAACTTGTGCCGTAACACGGCCCATTGAAAAGAGAGAAAGAAAAGAAAAGAAAAGTTTCAGGTAGCAGAAGACGACAAAAGCGAAAGCGCAAGCAAAGACGAAGGCGAAGACGAAAATGTAATAGAGGTCAAAAGAAGCATTGATTTAACGTGCACTTTTTTTTTCCTCTGTGCCGTTTTCCTCAATTTTATTCAGTTGCGGTTTCTGTGAATGTGTGCCGTGTGTGTGTGTGTGTGCCTAGTGTATGTGTGTGTGCATGCACATACATATGTCCTTTTACGAAACCGTCACAGCAACTGAAAGAAAAGAACGGAAAAGAAATACATATATATACATAAATATATACTTATATATATATATATATTTATATATTTATATGTGTAACGCAGTTCAATATTCAATAAGAGACCAAGCATAATTACATAATCAAATAGAGCGACTTGCAAATAAAAAAAAAAAAACAGAAAAAGGAATAAGAAAGAAAAACGGCCAATAAAAGCGAAATAAAGCCGTAAGCAAAGTAAATGATATAAAATCAACGTCAAGTGCAGCATTACTTAATCAACGCCCCCGGAAACGCCTAACAAAGCAAAGTTTAACCAAAAAAACCTATGTACCTGCAACAAAGAAATTGATCAAATTATTAAACAGAAAAAACACACACACAGAAACACATCGACACACACACAAACATATATATATATATATATATGTATATAAATATATGTATATATAAATAGAGAAAAAAACACAAAAAATCGCAGAAATTAAAAAAAATTAACAAGAAAATTACTTTTACAAATATACAACAAAGAAATAAATAAAACCCTCTCGCTATAAACTATAAAAAACATATATACAACAAGAAAAGTGCTATAAAAAAATATATATATAAATATATATATATATATATATACAAATACATAACAATTATATATAGAGACGTTATATATTGACATACATACTTAGATATACGCAAATATATATATCTATAACACTTATATAAAACCGTTGAACGTGTGTAGTTGCCGTTATGCGAATTGTTCAAGCCGTCAATGGATATAACCAACAAACTGAATAACTAGAGCTATAGCTAAAGGAAACCTCGTAGTTTGTAGGACAAGCGTCTTCTTCATGTAGCAAAATCAAATATTAATCGTTAACATTTAAACGCACTTAACGACTAACAAGTACTACCAAGTAGTTGCCTCTCTGTATATACATATATATATATTATAAATATATGTATATATATATATATATATGTATACAATATATACAAATTGCATAGAATACAACTAAATATATATATAAATATATAAATATGGATTTATTTTTATAAAGCCGCAACGAACTTCAACTGCAACTCCAACTAGCCCTAAACTAGAATAAAAAACTAAAAACTAAACGAAAATAAAATTAACAAAACAACAACAACAACAACAACAAAAAAGCCTGCAAAAATTAAACGCACTAATTAAAGCTACAGCAAGGACAAGGAGAAGGACAACGCTACTGGAGCTAGATCAGCTCTGCTGCCGGCTTTCCATTTATGGTCGCGTGTTGCTTGTGCAACCAACGAAGTTATTTATAGAGTGGATACCACTTAGAGATACATTGTGTAACCAAGGAATTATATAGATTTACCTGTGTTGGGTTTCTTCTTGCATCGCCAGCGCGCCTTGACGTAACTCTCCGGCACAAGCCACGCCCCGGTCTCCGGCTGTCCCGGACTACAACAGCTATACATATATATATATATACATATATATTATATATATATATGTAACGGTAACACCATAACGCCTTAACTTGAGTCACAACTTTTCACACAAGAAGCCGATAAGAACCGCAAGCCGCAAAAAATTCGTTGCGTTCATTAAACTTTCACAAGACCACGAGACCAAATATTTAATTGAGTAGCAGGAGACAAGAAGTAGAAGGAAGAACTAGAAACTAGAGAAATCATTGCATATATATACACACACATATATATATATATATATATAGATATATATACATACATATATTTTCGCCAGTGGCTTCGTATAAAGAGCAACATTATTATAGCCGTTCCTTGTGATATTCTAAAAATACAAAAAAAAAAGAAGGATACAAAAAATCCAATATTATAACGATCTTAAATCTGTGTGCTATCCGCCTGCTGCCCACCATCCTTCAGTTCAGTTCGCCCGCCCCGCCTATCATCGCCACCAACAAGAATCCACCTATCCTAAAACCAAACAATATTGTAACAAGCCCCAAGCCCCCTAGAGGATAAACCGACGTCTATAATCAAAAGTACAAAAGAACACAGAAAAACCTATATACGACTACGACTCGGATCAAGGAGAGTCGATAAGCGCCTAAATAAATGATAGCAACATATGGTATTAATATAATAATAATTTACTCAGTAGGCATTAGAAGGCGTTAAACATAACCTCAAACAAAGGCGCCCGAAACAAACAAACAAATAAACAAATATATAAATAAAACCTCCAAAACGAGAAACCAAACCAAACCCAACCAACCCATAAGCAATATAACTAGTGCTGTTAACTATTTTAGTGACTACATTTTAGACTACAGTCAACCAACGTTACTTAACACCTCTATAAATATAACCCACCAAAAACAGAACTCACAAAGACCTACACACACACAAACACACTCACACATATATAGAGAGTGAAAAGAAAGCCGCTTAAAAACACGAAAATCCATTGCAAAAAAAAAAAACAAAAACAAAAAGAAAAATGAAACTGAAAATGCTGTGAGTGAGAATTAGCTAGAGAGCAGAAGTTTATAGCTAAGCAACAACAACGAAAAGCAATTATTTTGTTTATGTGTCCCGCATACAAATACATGCATACGATGTCCTCCAATTTGCACTTGTATTTGTAGATGTACCTGTATTAGTTAATTCCCAAAAATCGAAACGGAAGTTGCGCCCACGCTTCCCCCAAAACGAAACGTGAGTGAGCGAGACAGAGAGCGAGCGAGCGAGAATTAGAGAAAGACAGAGAGAGAGAGAGAGAGAGAGAGAGAGAGAGAGAGCGAGCGAGAGAGATTAAACACGAACAGTAAAAACAAAAGCACACACATACATATAAACACACATAAAAACAAACAAACAAACAACATATGCACTGAAAAAATACTACAAGAACAATATATGATGATAAGGCCCAGAATTGCGACAGGCGTTACGGGGTGTACTCTATGGCAATAACAACAACAGCATAAAGGAGCAGCTGAGCAGCAGTGGTATACCAGTGTGTGTGTGTGTGTGTGTGCGTGTGTGTGTCAACTGTGTGTGTGTGTGTGTGGAAGAAGGAGAAAGTTTCATTTGTGGAGTGGAGAGCAGCGTGCAACGTGCGAGGAGAACGAAGGAAGGACGAAGGACATCAGACGTCGGACGACCAAAAATCAAATTTCAACTTTTCCATGTGGAACTTCTGCTCGTTGGTGTTGGTGGTGATTGTTGTTGTTACAAAAAATGCACGTTAAACACACACAGCGCCGAGTCAGCGGTCCTGGAGCATTCGGAACATTTACCAACGATCAACGGTATGCAATTATTTAGAATTGTCTATAGTGTCTTGTATCCTTGATATTGTTGTTATTTACTTGATTTAAGCGTATTGATTCAATGTACATGTGCATGTAAGTGTACACATATATATATATATATATATGTATATATGTATGTGTCTGTCTGTGTGTGTGTGTGTGTGTGAAGGTGTTTCAATTTGACGTCGAGGCTATTTGGTGCACTGCACACTGGGCCACTTCTTTTCTTTTACTGTAGTTACACAATTCTTACTTGGCACACTTGATGGACACCAATCGCAAGTTAATTAGACAAACTTTTAGACCCATAAATTAATATCATCAAATTGTATTTGGTTTGGCCAGACATTCGTAACAAACTTTAATTAGTTTGTGCATTATAATGATGCTCTCTGATATGTGTAGAAAAAATCTTTAGCAGCTTATAACTATTATATATAGCTCAAATATAGCTTAAATATAGCTCGAGAAAAACTGGTTCTTTAATAACAAAACTAATTTGTTTACCAAGAACTATCGAACTATCTTTGACATCTGAGAACTAGAACATATAACTGCAATAGAAATAATCTATCGAAAATTAATTTTTTAAATGAAAAAGTTATTGGATATTTTAAGCAATCTTTTTAATTTTGAAATTGTAATCGCCTAAATAGCTCTAATAAAAAAACCTTTGCTTACCAAGATATGCTGATCAAATTAATGAAATTTATAGGATAGTTGATGCCTCATTAAATAAAATACACTTTAGACAATAGTTTACAAGTTCATAGAAAGTTAGTTTCCACTTCATAATTAAAATATTATAAAATAAATAAAATAAATTTACTTAGAACTTACATTCTACTTTAATTTCCATGATTATCATTTATATATTAGATCCTAGCAAGTCCTAAGTTTGAAAACATTTTCCAGCGCTTACTACAAGAATTAGATCATCTGTATTACAATTTCAAGGTTGGCAAAATAGGAGTTATATCTATACAGTTATGAGCCTTTTATGCACATAAGGCTTTGCTATCCTAAATTAAAGTTTAACTAATAAATAATTGATCTCTTTCTGATCGTATAACTCTGCTGGTTGTAATATTTTTAATTTATTTTATTTAATTATCCGATTTAAGTCAATGTCAAGTTAGTGTTGCAGTTCTTATTAGGAGTACAAGCAATTTTCTACCTCTTTCTTGGTAAAATTGTAATACAAACTATGCTATCAATAACACATATAATGATGATGTTTATCCATTACTTTATAGTTAAATTAAAACTTGTTATCATTGGGCCACTTGAAAATGTTAGTGCTTCAACTACCAAATATGCGTTTCCAAAATAGTTGATTTCAATTGCATTTTATTTTCAATTTTAAGAAAAACAAAGATTTAAAAATAAAATGACAATCTGGCCCAGTGTGCATTGGGGATAGGCGACGACCTAAATCCCAACACATTGCGTTAATTATTTAGGAATGTGTGCCTCATAAATAATGCATTTGTATGTGGAACGTCCTGAAACACCTGTGCTCAAAATTCAAGCTCACGCAAATGCACACACACACACACACACACACACATATACAAATATACACATATATGTACACACTTACATACACTTATATGTGTGAACGTGTACACTTTAAAATGTTTACATTGAATGTATTTCCGTTTCCGTTTCATTTTCAGCATTCCCATACATTTTGTGTTGTTTGTTTTGTTTGTTGTTGTTTTGTTATTTTATTTTGTTGTGTTTTGTTTGCTGTGTTTGTTTGTTCTTGTTCTTGTTGGTTTGGTTTTGCAGTTGAACTTGTTGGTAGTGTTGTTGTTGTTCTTGTTGTTATTGCTGCTGTTGCTAATCCTAATGCGTGTGTTGGTGTGTTTGTGTGTGTGTGTCAATTTGTCACGATTAACAAATCGAAACAAATAATGAAGAACAAAGTTTTTCTTTTTGGCGCCAGTTTTGTTGCTGTAATTACTTTTGCATATATATGTATATACACTCGGAGAAAATGTTGTTCTGCCTTCTTAAATCTGCTTCACATATTTAATCACAAATATTATTGAACCAACTCAAATTTGCCAATCAAAATTATATTTTTACTGAGAATAAGTGTAACACTTTCTTCCACTTAATTGAAGATCTTAATTTCCTTATGCAAACTGATTAGTATGCATTTTAGTGTAATATCAGAATTGAGCTTTTTGACTATGAACCAAATATTTATCTCAAAGTAATCCGAAACAGTCTCACATTTGTACTTAAATTATTTGCAAAGCTTTCTTGTTCTTCATTGAAGATCTTAAATTTGTATTTCGTATTTATTTTAATATCATATCAGGTACGATTTCGATTAGTTTTTATTATTATATAATAACTGGATTGATTTAAGAACTTGAACTTAGAACTAATTATTTTACTCAAAGTTATGCAATGCAGTCCAAAAATTGAATGTTTCGGAATTAAAAACTGAACTTCATGCAAAAAGAATTTTGATCTCTGGTCCAGGAATCTTTCTATATATTTTTCCGCTGAGGGTATATGCATTTATTGTAGTCTGTGTTAATTAAAATGTATTTGTGTGTGTGTGTTCGAGTTTACCATGTTCATTTAACACTTATTTGGTCCATTATGCTTATTTCCATTTGGCTTCTTCCGAGCACAATGCAACTGATTTCCGTTCATTCAACGCCCGAGCAGGACAGCTGTATTTCAAGTGGCTGGCATGGGTAGGGGTGATAGGGGATAGGGGGTCATCCGTCACATAGTCAATGCAATTACAAGAAACTAGATTAAAAGCCAAGTGGCCAAACAACAATGGCGTCAACACACACACAAATACATACATACAACGACGGCGACAATGGGCCAAGCAAGCAACAAACCAACAAACAAATAACCAACCAACCAACAATGAGCAACTGTACGAGAAATAGTGTCAAAGTACTTTGAGTGCACTTGTACGCAGCCTGTGTGTGTGTGTGTGTGTGTGTGGCAGAAAAGCGTTGCATACACACAGGCGCCATTCAATGTGCCTTGCCTGCTGCGTGTGCATGTGTGTGTGTGTGCGTGTGTGTGTGTGTGTGTGGGTGTGTGTGGGTGTGTGTGTTATTCATGTACATGTTCAACGACAACATCAATGCAGCAGCGGAAGCTTTCGCTTTTACTTCAATGATTAAACCACTGACCGAATTTCGGCTTGCCATCTACATATATATACATTGCATATGTATTTGTATTTGTATTTGTCTATCTATTTGTATGTGTGTGCGTGTGTGTGTATTGATAAAAGGCTTGCTGTCATTTTTGTTGTTGCTGTTGCTTGCACATTCTAGCTGGCACACTCACATACAAATACAGATCCACTCACAAACTGACAGAGTTAGAGAGACACACACACACACACATACACACACACGCGCAGAGCGAGGCGAGATAAACTGTTTTGTTAGCCTTTTTGTGTAGGAAGCTTGATGTTTCCAATTGAACTAGTTACATACATTTTCCACATAGAAAGTACACTCAGAGAAATAATATGCCCTGGCAACTTAGAACAATGCACTAAAAATCTAAACTAATTTTGAGAAATTATTTATTGCTGCTAACTTAAAAGTAAATCAAAAAACTTAAAAATATATCATTAATTATATTTTCAAGAAACACAGCGAAACTCATTTCTAAAAAATAAAACTGGAATAAACATAAAAATAAATCATTATTTTGATTTCTAGCCAAAATGAAAATTTTCAGTCAAACTTAAAATCATTTCCATATTTATTGTTCCGGAAAACAAATTGCTAAAAAATAAAACTTTTGTCCAAACTTAAAAAATATCAATATTTATATTTAAAAAAAAACTAAATGAAAGTCCTGAGCCAAACTTGAAAATATGCGATTATTTATATTTACAAGAAACACACAAAAACTTAAATAAAAGAAACTCTTAAGCCGAACGCTTCGAAAAACTTCAAACAAAAGTTCAACTCTTCATTTAGAAATGAGAGAAAAAGAAAGAAAAATTGTATTCTAAATAAGGTCTGCAGGTCAATAAGTTAATTCTCTGAGTGTACTTGCAAACAGTATGTGTGCCATAGTTGGATTCCATTTAAGCAGTTGCCTTAGGCAAACGAATTTTGATTTACAAAATTATTAAATTAAGCTGACAGATTAATTGCTGTCATGTTGACAGGCAGTGAAATCCAACTGTTTAGTTGATTTACGATTGCTATTATTTATTTTTATTTCATATTTGTTGTTTACCCTTAAATTAAGATGAAAAAAAAACCGTAATTTGTGTTTCGTTTCGTTGTGAAGTAATAATGTATACATCTGAATTTATGTTTGTCATTGTTGTTGTTGTTTTTACAGAAAACTTGCTTAAAAAGTACCAAACTTAAAAAATAAGCAATACAAACAAGTACAAAAAGCAAAAGAAGCGCAAGCGAAACAAGTTTTCGCATCGAATCTGACAAAATACAAAAAAAAAAACCAAATAAAATACAAAAGAAATAAAAAGAAAACAAAGTGAAATCCCAAATCAAAATCCAAATCGAAATCGAAAGAAAGAATCAGCGTGAAACACTCGTGCTAAAAACGAATGAGTTTCAATTATTTCGCTGTGTGTGGAAGCTAAATTTGCGTACTACTGACATCATCAGTGAAGGTACCGACAATTTCAAATAGCCACTCTCTGCCTCTACCTTTCAACTACTATGTACTAATACTACCTACTGCTACTACTATGTATAAATAAATACTTACTTATGTACTTACTCATGTACTTACCTATGTACTTGCTACAGAACGTTCCACAAACACTTTGAACTTGCTATTCCTCTTCCCCATTGCAAGCTGCTACTAAAACATACTTAATGTATATAGTTACCTACTTAATCTAGTTTTTTTCTTTGACATCACTCTCTGCTTTCCTTCTAACTCTTTTTTAATGCATACCTATTATTATTAATATTATTGTGTTTTAGTGCTGTAATGCCGATGAACCCAAA